CGGCATCACCCTCCGTTTCACAGAGGATTTCACTATTTCAGATGGAATGCCGCGCGGTCGTGTCGACAACCGTACGCACGACCGACGTTGGTTCCCGATAATATCAATTTTCGAATAATAACAATAATTCCAAAACAATATTAATCCATTGTATTTTTATCAGTGCAATACAGTCTTGTCGCCGGGACGGCGAGACGTCCGTCCGCCGGGTCAATTACTGGTAACCGACAGGGAGGCAGAGGGCGAAAACGGCGCACGGTTGGCAACAATGTATCAACGTTCAGGCATGTGTTCAATTCCCACCATTCCCCCCGTCGAAAACAATAACACCGATTTGGCGAGTGCTCACGTTAAGTCGTTCAGTTTTTTTTTTTTCATTATTTCACTCGCATCTTCCTCGTATTCGTCCTAAAGGATTCCGTTTACGATACCATTCCCAACGGCGCCCTTTCCCCATACACCGCCCGAACCTATTGACGGGCCAACGCGCACACGGCTCCCGGCACTTACGGTTGAACTGACAGGAAATCCCGGTCGACGGCCGTAACAGAGCGCGCACATCGTGGATTCGCACTATCATTGCAATAATACCGCATTTCGAGTACCATGGCAGAATTATTGACGGCCGAGCCCAAAAATACCGTCGACAACTCGACCTCGACGGAGTGCAACAAGAGGAAACTGTCTTTGGAAATGATGAATTCCGAACTTATGCAGCAGGCCAACGTTTTAAAGAAGTTAAAAGAAATCAAGACGCAGCCGGGTGAGTGGTACCTAATATTTGGTGTAACGCATAGGTAACCAAAATGTTATTGGCCTCACTTGATACTCGATAGCTACCCAGTCATTACATTTCTGTTTGTCTTATGGAATTTCAGACACACTTTGTCAATGCCCTCAAAAGTGTTCAGACCGTGTACCGCAAAAGTCCAAAGATGAGCTTTTCAAGATGTTTATGGATATGGAAAGCGAAGATGTACAAAATAAATTCCTACAAAAGTTCATCGAAGCTAGACCCGTTGCCAATCGTTTGTTTAGTAAAGAGACTACGGCCAATGGTAAATTATTACGAAGGATTCATTGCAAGTATAGGATACCGTCAATTGTGGCCGAGGATTTTTTGTCAAGTGAGTCATCCACATTGTTTCATCGTCAATTTTTTATTTCAAAGCACCATGATTCAGTGATAAACTTAATAAGTCAAAATATCTCAGAAAATTATCTAATCTGAATAGACAATTGACTATATTATCTAATTTATAGTACCCGTAATTACCTCTGTGAATTTATGTTTATAATTTTAAACAATTTAGTATTTCGATAAAAAAATGTTAATTATTTAAATGTAGGTAAGACTATTAATAATGAATAATTATTATTACATTTTTATTTCCAAGTTTTGGCTTATACTATAAATTATTGAATGATAATATACATATTATTTAAATTGAAATAGGTAGGTATGTAGGTGATAATAATGAATCCTGATATTTCCGTATTCTCCATACCTACTATATTAGATCGAATCTTTAGGAGCAAAAATATTACCTAATTTACTTGTGTATGAAAATTGTTCATTCTAAAATTTTTGTTTTTCTCTTTTTATCATTTAATACCTTCTAATTATTTTTAATGAGATATTTATTACAATTATTATCTATTAGAAGTTAAATAAAATCTCACTCCTCTGTGATGAACGTTCTTGTAAAATGCATACTAATACATAAATGAATTAACTCCGAAACAGTTCTAATATTATTAAAACTGTTTTAAATGTATACCTACATACATGTACAATTTCAATAGCATAACTGTCGTTAATAAGTATATGCATTTAGTATAATGTATTGTTTTTAAAAAAAATATAACTAATTTGTTTTATTCTGAGTAGGTTAGATTAGGTACCAAGATATTTATTCTAATGAAAATATTTAACTTCAAAATAAATAATCCTTAAAAATTAAAAATAAAGATGAAGTTGCTTGATATGTATTAGATTTTTTCAAATAATGTTAATTTCTATTTTATAGATATAATAAATTGCGATTCCGACAAAGATGAAGATTCCGATTTTGATGAAACGTCTTCAGTGGCATCTATGGACTCGAAGGAAGAGAATGATAAAGCATTGGAAAGCGATTCAACAGAAACTTCAAGAAAATCTTTGAGTCGTTATAACTGTGTAGATGTCTGTCAAAAATCATTTATTAATCTGTTTGGTCTATCAGATAAACGGTTAAAAACAGTTAGAGAATTATTGATAATTAAAGCCCGTCAAAAGCACATGAAACGTATGATGGAAAAAGAAGAAAACCAAATAGAAGTATCTTTGGCTAAGGACCTTGCGCAAGGTTGTTTGCCATTAATGGCACTTTTTAACAAAGAAGATAGTAAAAAAGTATCTGATCAGTTGATGACTGCTATTAGTAATGACATTAATTTGGTCAATAACTTTTTCTGTAACCAATTATGGAAACCAGAGTATATTAACCAAAAACCCACAGAATGATTAAGAATTACTTAAAGTATGTACCTGCTTTGATATATTTTCTATTTTTAATTTATTGGTAGGAATAGTACTATGTTTCAATAATTTTGTTGGTACTACTTTAATATAATCCAATTGAATAATTGTTATAAATTCATGGGTTAATACTTAACGTGTAGATGTTTATACAAATAATGTGTCAGTCGACTGGGGTTGTTAAAATTATGTAAAACTATTATATATTTTTGTATTTATATTACATTAGTTATTTAAAATAAGTGATACACGAGACATGACTTAAAACGTAAATAAATATATTTTTTTTTAACATGTATAAAATAAACATTGACATAAAACTTGTTCTCGAATAAGAAAAGAACAAATATAAATTTATGCAACAAGTCTTAAAGTTAATTAAGAATTAAAATATGTTCTATAAGTTTTATACATAAAAATTATCAACTATCATCATATTTTAATATTTTCGTATTAACTAATAACTAGTATGTAAGAAATGTTTGAAAAGTACAAATATTAATTAATTAATACAAACATATAAATATTTTATATTTATCGATACACCTAGACAATAATAGTATTATTATAATATTATGTTTTTGAAAAACATTAACATTTTTTGTGGTATTTTAATTATTGTATAATTAAAACTATATTTGTTTCTAAGATCAATGATAATTAATATTACAATATTGTAACTCAATTTAAATTGAAGATTAGTTTATTAAACGAATATAGGAATTATAATTTTGTCCGATCATAAATGTCAGTATTTAATTTTAATTTTAATTTTTTTTATATACCTTCATCTACTTATGCGCGTTATTTACTGTTCCATTGTAAGACATCATTTTTTGTTTTTGTTATTTATGTCGGTACTGTGATTATTCTAAGGAGATTATACCAAATCCATGTGACCTTATTTATACCAAACACCCAAATATCCGTCTGACGGTACATAGATTTATATATTTTTAATACAAAGACTATTATTTTGTAAACTCAATTCATGATTCAAATTATTAGAATTTAAGACGTATTGATTACTTATTACGAATTTATATTAGTGTGATATAAACTATATTTTGTATAAACCTATTAAAACCCATTTACCTATTGTACAAACTTCACAGAGTAATTTTTATATTTTTAGACCAATGCGCTATTTCAATTTTGTGATTTTTAATATTTTTTTAAAAGATATGTATATTTTTTTCACGAGTATTAATATAAGATATATTTTATAAGACCGCCGAACCAAATAAAAAACTTGAACGATATTAGACTAATAATTTGTTTTATTATTATTATCCTCCTAGATTTGTGTAATAATTTTTTTTTATAATTTATACAATTAATACTAAAAAAATATAATTAGAAATTTGAGTAAGTATTTCTTAATTGTATTTAAACCATATAAAAATCAATCTACATTTCTTACAAGAAAAACAGGTATATTAACAAATATGTTTTATTAGAGTTATAATAATTCATAAATAATGATTAATGAAACAATATGAAAGTTTCAATACACAATAATTAAATCATAATGAATACCAATTTAAAAATGAAAAAAATGTACCAGTATCTAAACCAAAATATTTAATTATGACTAAATGAATTTAGAGATAAACCGATTGTTAAATTATGCACTCAATGGAACTATATCAACTGTTAAAATATGATTTAAATACTTTAAAATAAATGAAATTTCTATTTTGAAAAACACTTAAGTAGACATTGTGGATACTCACTTGATAAATTGAAAAATGTATGTATCAGACAAATCTACGAAAAAAGAGTAGCGCAAATAAGACACATAACCAAAAAAATACAAACAATAATAATTACAGAAAAACAAAAGTAAACAATTAGACACCTATAATTTAGTATTCTTTGACCCTGTATAATAATATAATACCTAATAGATTATATATACTTTTAATATTATAGAAAACCAAAAGTATTGATATATTATTATGTACTTTTAGTATTTTCTGACATATATTATATAGGTATATAATAGAATAATAGGTACTTACTAGTTTTTATCATTTTTATAGCTTTTGTTATATTTTAATTACAAACAATTATTTTAATCTAAGTTAGAAAATGCACTTCATCTCATGTAATGTACTGTGGAGTTGTGTTATAGTTAGTTAGTCAGTCTTTTCTTTTTTAATTTAATTTTTGTATTTATTCATAACATTTATGATACAAAATTAAAAATACAAACATTAAATCAAACAGCGAAAAAAGCAATATTGTTACTGTCTTGTTTTACCTATTATGATATCCAATAGGTAGGTAGATGTAATTTTATTATAATATTAATTAGTACGTATACCTATAGTATTATAGCAATGACAATAAATTATAACATAGGTATAAAAACTACTCTAGACACTTAACAGGTAAGTACAAATATAATATCTGATATCTGTACAAGAACTGTTGATATTTTATTACTAAACAATTTAATAACTAATAAGTACTTACCATATCCAATTTTTGAAAGTATTGCCTAAAAAATGTTAAAGGTCTTTCTGGTTTTGCAATGCATAGCTGGACAATGCAGTCTTTTAATATTTGTTGTATGTTATGTCGTTGAACGTACATTTCACAATCATTCACATTTAATTCATCATATGAGTTTGATGCCATCTTAGAGTCGTTAATTTTTTATTACCACAAAATTTACAAAAACATTCATTAATTGATCGATTTACGCGGTCAGTATACGGTTCCTACATAGAATTTACCATTGAATTATTCTACAGTTATTGTTAAATAAAAAAAAATTAAAACTACATACAAAAAATTTGTATGTATATAAATATAAAATTATATTTTAAAAACTTGTATTAATTTTACAAAATTACATTAGTATGAGCTGATTTTTCGAGTAACTGTAAATATTATATTGCATTATTAAATATTTGGAAAAAAAAAAAAAAAAGGGTAATTTCTATGAGAATCTAAAACGAATATAAAATAATTTGTATCTAATCGACGTTTTTAAGGATAGGGATATCAAGAAATCACATAACTAAATGATAACGAAAGTGAATAAATTTGATAAAGCGAGAGTTGCGCCATAGAGCCCGCGATCTAATACCACAAATACTATCAACGGAAACTGATCATGGTCGCGTTACCCACATTATCTACTACAGTGAGGTTATGTGTATAATATTTTTACTTCTTTGAACAAAACAACACAATAATATATAAACATAAAACATGTGATAGTTTTGTCAGTTGTCGTCTTGTTGAGGGTTTCTCTGTGTTGTTATTCGGTCCGCACGGGACAATTTGTTTTTTTTTTCCGACCGGGTAATTTGTTGTATCTACACTGTCCGTTGTTTAATACAATTATTATAAATACGTTTTTCGTTTTCGTTGCACAGTTTTTGCTCGTAATTTTTGTTTTATTTCGCAGATGAAATATTAAAACGCTGTTGGTGCCGATTGTTTAAACGACGAATCGATCGCTAGTTTGTCCATTCTTGCGTACATGTTGTTTAGCCTGCAGTATTGTAAAATACAGTTGTAATACCTATATATATATATATATATATTGTATTATTCGTGTTCATTTCGAATTAACGAATGTTTAATATAATGTTGGTAACCCGAGATGCGTTAGCAGCATTGTAGATCGGTCGTCGGTCTTGTGTTTGTCTTACACAGAGAACGAAACGGAACACACGATGACCAGCTTCACCGAAAAAGGTTTGCACAAGCGGCTGCAGGAACTCAACTCTTCCCAGCAGAGTATTCAGACGCTGTCGCTGTGGCTGATCCATCACCGGAAATACGCTCATACTGTTGTCAAGATTTGGTCCAAAGAATTATTAGCAGGTAATAAAAGTTGTAGTCTCGTAGAAATCGCCCGTTACCCGTTATTAAATATGTATAGTTTGTTTGAATTTGGATATATCTAGTAATATTATTATCTTTTACTTGGGTATTATTTTAAAAATTATTATTAATTTTCAAATTTCAATAATTATATTTATTATTAATGCTTATAAGAATTATATTTTATAGGTACTAAATATTGTATGTTTTTTTTATTAGTTGGATTAACTAATAAAATATAAAATAAGGAAATACGATATAGATGGGTAGGTACTTGATGTACTACAGTTTATAAACAAACATAGGAACCAAACAAAATTTTTGAAGCTCTGGGAATTATCACTTAGACTTTATTATGACTGGTTTCGGCCGAAAGTCATCATCACATTTCGTTTAAGTAGTTCTTTCTCCGTGTAATATTAACTTGGTATTTTCTGATAATGGCCTATTGCCAAAATCATTCACAATGAAATGTTAATCTTATAATAAATAAGAAATGCTTAACATTATTATTTTAAAGAAACCATGCAAAAAAAAAACCACTTAGTAAAAATATCATTGTGGAAAAATGTCTCAGATCACTACACAACAGTAGATAGATACATGCCATAGTATATTGTGTCGGCCATGATACACGACAGCTCTTAGATACTGTTCCCGGTCACAATAAAAAATTTTGTTTGTACCTGAGTACATAAGAAGTTATTCTAATTTCATTTAAACAGTGGGATCATCACGCCTTGCCAACTATATTATTACTAATTAATGGCCTAGTTCATAGTTTTATAATTTTAAGTCAAAATATTCGGTAGGTAATAAACAACTTAGGTATTTTAATTTTAAATTATTATCATGTAAATATCGAAAATATACTTTATTTTACGGAAAAATAAAATAAAATAGAAGTTTGTGATATAATTACCTATTTGAAATAAAACTAGTAGGTATTTGGACCTATTATTTATTTATTGGATTATTGGTAGATTTACCCAATACAGTTCAATGTTTTATAACTAATAGCAAACTAAAAGTAGTATTATTTTTGAAGTAATGAGTTTGACTAACAGGAATTGAAAAGGAATGAAAACTAATATATTTATAAATATTATAATGATAGTTAATTGTGAGAATTATTTCTGTTGTCGAGGATTAAATTTGAGGGTTTATAAATAAAGCACTTCCGACAAATTAAAACCTAAAATAAGGTCTTGAGACCGAATGGCAAGGGTTCCATAATTAGGTGTAAGTCTTTAAAGATCACTAAAAACTCTTAACCGTGTTATAAATATAAAGCATAGCGGGCCACTGTTTTTAGGATTGCCAGATTTTGAAATCCCTGAACCTGAACATGATTTTGATTAACCATTTTTTTTTTTCCAATATAACGTTTTTCGGGTTTATTTATATTAAATATATTTTTTTTTTTATTTTTTATATTTAAGTATCCCCTTTTTTAATTTAAATATTTATTAATACAATTGTAAAAAGCTACATTATTATTTATTTATAATATTTTATTACTATTATTTTTAACATTAACTTTTATTTATTTTGTATACATTAACTGTTAAACTTGTATTACTTATTGTCTATTGATTTTTAAACTTTTCACTTCAATGAATTTTCTTCAATAAAATTGTATCATTCTTAATTTTTTCGTGAAATTAATTACGAGGTAAACCAAAATTAATTTTAAAGACTATCGGGCATCTATTTCAGAGTGCTGTATTTTCATTCGTCCAACCAAGCGTTATTCGAGTATACTCTCAGCCTCTATTAACCAGGAGAAACTGAATGAACAGCTGGTGTATACTGGGACGAATAGCAAGCCTAACTGTTTTGGTGAAGCTAGTGATATATTATTATTTTAAGATGTAATTGTACATTGTTATTTAAGTTTTTTTTTTTTGGTATAATCAAAGAAAGTTATTAAAAACTCAAAAATTGACCCTTCAGACTATCAGTGGTAGAAACAATTGAATATTTATCTTAACTTTCTGTGAAAGCTTTTTATTAAGCTTTTTTAGTTTTAATTGCCCTTCAAAATTTACATCAAGACAAAAAAGAAATATAGTCAAACATCTATAATAAATAATAATTAATAACTAATACCTTGAAAAAATATTATCATATTATTTACAGTTGTTCTTAAATTTTTGATTTTTGTTTTCATAATTTTACAGACGGAGAATTGATTATTCAACTCCATAATATACTTTGCAGTTTTTATTACCTAAATAAATATTATTTTACGTTTTGCACGTACTCTGGTTAAAAAACAAAGATCGAACAGATTTGAGACGTGATCTAACATGTTTATCCACCCTCTTCCGGCCTTTGCCAATATTCTTTTGTTTAGCTTTGCAGTAAAACTAGCTTAATTTTGATTTTAAAGTAAAAGTACCTATTATAACCTCGCCGGGTTTTATATTATTCTAAATATACAGCTCAATATAAAGGTATAACATTTTTTTATTTTTACTTTTTAAATAACTAACTTTTTTAATTGTTCATAATTTAAATAACACCTTTGACATTCCCTCCAGAATATTTTTCTCTATTGTTTCATTATAGGTACTTTTACCCCAAAATCAAAATTAAGGTAGTTTTACTTAGTCTGTGTAAGCATTGTTTTCGCATGTTGCCCTTTACTTGTACTGAGACAGTAGATCCGTGTGTGATGGCCTCTTAATATTTTGGTGCGAGTATAAAACGTGAATCAAGGACAAATATATGATAATAATGTAAATCCATTATTATTATCCGTTGAAATAATATACGATGTATCACATTGAGATTAAATTCGATTTTTATAAATTATTATATAAAATGCATAGTTGGAACTGTGTAGCTTTTTAAGTAACTATACGAATTTGTATTTGATTTAAAAAGAAATAAACATTTGAAAAATTAACTTTCTTTATCGTTATTTAATATTTGTATTATTTCATATAAACCATCTTCTGATGGACCTTTATTTTTATATACCTATTTGCTGAAACAATTTTTTTCGACATCACAACATGGTGTAATTTTGTGTCGTGTGTTTATTCGCCTAAACAATTTTCATCGACAAACACACTATCGGGTGTCTTTGAAAATACCTTTTTAGCGCAACTTATAATTTGTTCGTTACTTAGATATTCGAGCATTATTGTTTCACACACTGTGCAGTCCATGGCTGCACAAGACGCATGCATCGTGTTTAGTAATACTGGTACATAAAACATGCGCTTCTGGGTTTGGAATAATAATAATTTTGGTAGATATTATTTGTAAATAAATTAATATTTAAAACCCTCCGTTAAAGATAGTATAGTTGCTTGAAGACGTATGTATGACAAGCTGCATCCTCTGGGCAGCCATGCAAGTGCTTACAGTCTGCTGATTAAAACATTAATTTGCATGGTTTTTTGATCACGATCATACCCATTGTCTTTTAAAATGGCGCGGCGATAAATCCCGTCCATGGCACGAAAGGCTAATTTAAATAGTGTTCGTTTACATTGTATACTATAGAGTAGCACTCGTGGGCGCCCGCAGGAAATTTATCAGGGAGGGGCATAATAATATCAAACACTAAAAAATACTCAACTATATTAATTAATTATTAACATTGTATATGAAATTTTGAAAAAAAATTTGGGGGGGGTAGATATCCTGTCTTGCCCCCCCCCCCTTACGGGATCCCACGACAGTACTTCGCAGTCAGATTAGGTTTAAGTAAGACACTATAAAGATGAGTATTCTCATCCGCCATTTTGGGTCATGATCATGTGTTTGATAATACATTCAGCATTAAAGTTGTGTTGCAAATTAAAATTGATATAACTGTGAATACAGTTGGGTTTCTACATTTTTTATATACCTACCTAAATTTAACAAAGGTAAAAATTTACCTCACACAAGCGTGATGATTCTGTTGGTGTCCATTTATCTCCACGTCCCATATTTCATTTTCACTTAGCACGTCATTGTCCTGTAGGAAATCTAAATAATTTCTAGCTTTTATTTCTGACTTATTACTGCAGTTTACCACACTACAGCAAGACATGTTAAAAAAACAAGCAATTTTGGCAAACTGAACAATTTTCATTACCTACTGTCAGATTACAGGTTATCCGATATGTAGGTAATCTTCGAAATTAAAAATAATTAAATGTATGTTGTATTATACATTTGTAATTCAATGTATATTGCAATAATTATCGATGAAAATTTGCAATATTATTATAGTAATATCAAAAATATGAATATTAATCATCTATTTAAGTTTCGTTATACACGCAATGTGTGAAACAGAATTGTTAATATAAACTACAGTAACTAACATCTCCATTTATATTATTATTTTATAAATACAATGGTACTTACCTATAATGGTACAACCAATGCAGATCAATAAATGCAGAAATTTACACATAATTTTAAATATAAGACAATCAAAAGATTAGAAAAAAAAACGGCAAAAATAGTTTTAAATTTAAATTCTATAGAGATCAAGTATAACGATTCAACAATTGTAACAACAATCTATTATCAATGGTGTCATTTATCTTTAATCGTGGGTAAAACTATTAGAATTGATTAAATATAACTTAATGTAAAAAGTCAAAACTCTCTGCTGATGATCGTTGAACACCCAAAATATAATATTACTTACATTATATTTTTTATAGAATTAGTACGAAATTGTTTATGAAGTACCTAATTAAATTTAACCTCGTTATTACATTAAATATTTTGTAACAATGTCGGAAGTTTCGGGAAAATGTATAATGTATACCAATACAGTGATTTTCGGGATTAAAAATTGATGATATTGTATTAAATATGTTTATTAAGTACCTACTCTATGATAATAGCTACTAATTTTTAAATATTGTGTTATTTCATTTTGTAAAAAATACTATTATTTTTTTTAAATATAAAAACTAATTGTTACAGGCTCAGAATCTAAACAATTGACGTTAATGTATCTAGCCAATGATGTTCTTCAAAATGGTAAAAAGAAGGGTCCTGAATATGGTCAAGAGTTTGGCAAAGAACTGGCTAAAGCATTTAAACAAATATCAATAAACAATTACACTGCCAAGATAAGACAGAGTTTGATACGGGTATTGGATATATGGGAAGACAGAGGTGTTTACAGTAAAGCTCAAATAGATGAGTTCAAAGATAATTTTTGTACGATATTTTGATAACATTACAATATTCAATTCTGTAAATAACCAAAATATATTTCTACATTATTATTAATTTTTTTTTGTTTTTAGGTAAAGAAACAGAAAAAAAGCCTACAGAAGAACCACCTCAGAAGAAAACAAAACATTCACATAATCATAAATCAAAAAAGTCTAAATCCCAAAACAATGGTGTAAAAAAAGATAGTAAAGAAGTTGTGGTCGAAGTAGACGGCACTAAAGAATTGCATGTTACATTATCTCCAAAAACTCCTGTCAATGATCCTCCCGAACCAGAAGAACTAATAAAAGCTCTAAATGTACATGAACAAGTTATTAATTAACATTTTGTCTTTCGTCTCTCTCTCCTCTCCTTACATTTATTTGAGATCAGCCACTTTAGTCCTAATAGTGCTTGACTGGGTCTTTCTCATTATCTATACAGACCTCAACAGTCCTCATGTCACACCCAATTGTATCTAACCATCTCGTTTTCGGTCTTCTTCCATTTCATTTATCCACACTCATCTGTCTATAATTGAAATATTTCAATAATGTTATAGTATTTAAGTGAAATTTTAACTTTGTAAACTAAATTTCATATTTACAATAGTTTGAAAAATCAATCACTTATTCTTTTAACCTTAATTTATCTAAATTTTTTAATCATAACTTGGAAAAAATGTTGAGTACTAACATATATATATGCTTAAATACAACAATACACAACAGTAGTGTTTTCTATACTTGAAAGAAGCCTAGAGGCTATTTAGCTATATATTTGCACCAGGTAAATTTTTTACATGACATTGACCATTTATAGAAAGAGTAATACTCATGTAACTAAACAAATATATCTACCAAGTCTTTCAAAATGATACATACTCTTTTAATTACAGTTTATTAGACAAATTTGTGCTTTTTTCAAGTATTAAAAGTATATATTAGTATACATTACAAGAATATTAATTAGTTATTTATTAAGTGTTTCTTGAAATTAATTAATTTTTTGAATTGAATTTAAATCCTAATAATTGAAATACTATTACTTTTTACAAGTGTATTATTAAAACAGTAGCCACAATTATTCAATTTTGATAACATTGATTATTTATCATGATTAATTATTTATTTATATATACATATTTTTTTTGTGTGTATATAAATATAATGTAAACATTTACTAACCAAAAAAAATTCACTATCACAGAACTAATATTTATTATAAATTCAAAATAAGTAATGCATTTTATTTTATATATGTTACGATTAATTTAATTATAATTATATTTTAACTGATTTTGTGCTGTTAATTTTAATATTGGAGTGTATTACTCTGTTATAAATCTTAAAAGTACCAACATTGTTTTTTGCATGTGAATTTGTTTTCATTATATTATTTTTATTAATATTATGTAAATTTTAAGCCAGATTAGATGATTTTTAAATTGTAATATTACACATATACATAATTTGCTTGAAAATTAAAATGTTGAAGAATAAATAACCAACATTTAAACATACAATGTTCTTACATTAGTTTTAATAATACACTCTAATATTAAAACTAACTGCACAAAATTGATTTGTATAAACAAAAAATGATCATAATGACAACCGATTTTACAACATTAACTTTACAGTAACATTTATGATAAATAAATATTTTGAAGTTTTGGGATTAATGTATACATTTTATATAGATAGTAAATTCTTAATACTATATAGTATTTATACATGTATAATTTTCCAATTTATTATTTTGAAATATTTTTAAACAAACAATTTTAATTTTAATAAACTTAACCTTAATTAGACTAAAATAACAAGATTAATTTTGAATACTATTTAATATAATATTTTAATTTTTAGGATTTAGAAAATGCACCTTCATGTGACGCAATCGTTCGCGAACGAATTTCAAAACTACCTCCAGAAATTGCTGATGTCAGTTTACTCTCTCAATTAAAAGGTTACTATTATTTTGTACTTGTTAAATTTTCAAAGTGTTCATTATTGTAAAAAAAAAAAATTGTATTTATTGCCTGTATTATATTATTGAAATGTACTTTATTTGTTAACATTTTAATGTGAAATGAGAAAACTTCTTTATTTTTATATGCAGTATATTGCATTGTGTTTACTACAATATTATTTAAATCAATCCAAATGATATATATATTTGTTTATTATTGTCACCTGATGTTTTTTGATTAAATTTAATACAAATTATTTTTTTATATTATCATTATTACTACATAGTTGTAGTTGTGACTGTCCAATAATGATTTACTAATAAATGCGGTGATAATTTAATTGTGAAATTTATATTAATCCACCTTGTCTTTCATAAATTCTCATGTGTTATGTATAATATTCAAACCAGGTTGGTAACTAATTGCAATTTACTGTATAAAGTGTACAATATATCAATCATTATTGTTAAGTTGGATTATATAGATGAATCATAATTGATCCAATTACATATTATATTTTGTATGTGAATTTAGTTGTATACCATGTGTTAATAGTATACAGTATTTTAAATACTTTATTATTTGTTTTTAGGAAAAGAGGAAGCTCAAGAACTTCTTCGGAAAGTAAATGATGCGGTAGCGTTGTTGACTGATTACAATACTAGACTGGTGTGTGAGATGGAAGATCGTAAGAAGATCTCATCTATGTTGCATGATTTTATTCAATCTCAAAGAGATCTTATTGATCAAGCTGAACAAAGATTACAGGCGAGTGTTATTAGTAGAATTCGGAACAGCAACCTAATTATTAGAATGTTTGCATATTGAACAATATCTAGAGTCTAAATGTAATTTAACAGTAGTTGATAAGATATAAAGTAATTAGCTAATTATAGTAATTGAATAGGTGACATAACCTTAATAATAAGCCAAAAATAAACCATAATCGTTAGTTTTATAATAAATAATTATAAAATACAAGGTCATTTATTTGTGTACCTAGTTATTACAGCAATACTTTTAAATATATATTGCATGATAATCAATTTCTATTTTTATTCTTACAAAAAACAGATTAACACAAATACATAATGAATCTATGGTTTTTAATTTTTTTTTATTGTATCTCTTTTGAATACATAAAATAAATGTTAATAATTTTTAGGACATTCGCGTACTTACTTATTTGTTTTTTGAGTGAGTAGGTGTCATAATATTTTTATCATAATAAATAATTAGATGCATTCTTCTGTTTTTCAGGAATATCAAGGTAAATTGCAAAAAGTATGCCAAGTACGGCAAGAGGTTAACACTCACCTGCAGAATCTACCGGATTTAGCACAATTGCCGAGTGTTCAAAGCGGACTGGCACCTCTTCCGTCAGCAGGCGATTTGTTCACTGTTAATTAGAAATCCAGAAGCATTACTATTGATTACAGTTAGATTTAGCCCATGTGTTGCACACACACCTTATTGTTCTTAAGAAAATTATTAAATAATAATAAAAACTTTTCTAAATTAAAATATTATAATATTTTCTAAGTTTTGCCATGCAGTGGCGCCTATCATATTATACTATTATATTTATAATACTTTGACTATAACTTTACTTATTTTCTAAATTAAACGACTTATTTAATTATCAAACAAATATATACCTTGTGTTGTTTTCAATATAGTTGGGCACAAGCCTAAATATATATATATATATATTTATTTTTAAGTGCCCAGAGGCTTTATTATTTAAATGACTTGAAGGTCTTTATAAATATGTTTAACAAGATATATCTTACATACTATATGTTAATATATACTTAATATACGTTGATGAAGTCACACTTCCAATGAATTGTCTCCTAACCTTAATATTTAAATTTTTAAACTAAGTCGAACGCTTAAGGCATCTAATGTCTTTGGCGTTGTCTAATAATTGGACAATTTAGTCTTGTCTCATGTTTGTGAGTAAACTTTTGGATTTCATCAACTATTGTAGGCATTGTATTTTTTTTTTATTAACCCTAAAGTTGGTCTTCAATTCCCATTCTCCATTCTAATCGATTGCCTGCTTTTTTCTTGATTTCTCTAAACTTTTATACCCTTGCATCACATTTTATTTGTCCTATACAATAGTTTTAAGAATGTCCTACTATTTTCTTTCCCTCTATCATACCCTCTATGATTATATTATGCAGTTCTTCTAGGTGTCTCAGGGCATGTCCAATCATTTTCCATCGTCGTGTTCTAATCGTATTTATGAATGTCAGTTTTTCATTGTGTGTATATATATATATATAAAACAGTTGCATTAGGCAATAAATTCTATTACAATCGTGTTCGTGCTTTTTCAACATTATATATTACATTATAACATTACCTAACCTAACCAACTGATATAATATTTTATTATTTTAATTATTACATACTCTAAAAAAAAACTGACAGAAATCTATTTTGTAACACAGACAATAATTCGTTGACGTGATATCCGTAAATTTCGTGTTTTTTTTTCAATGAAACGAGTACTGTTGTACTGGAGGTCCACACCACCGAGTGATGAATTCCAATGTCTGTTTGACGACAGACGATTGGACGGTTTTCGATACAGTCATTACCTTGGTCCAATCGTCCTTAATGGCCATTCTGTTGTTTTCGAACGTCACAGCATAGCTTTTTTTTGAATCAATGACCGGCCAACCGGACAAAACGCACACAGGATACTGGCCACCATCCGGTGAGGTCAGATTCGATGGGTAGAGTCTCCTCTGGTCCAGCGGCAAACTCTGCAAAAAGACAATATTAATTATAACATAACCGCAATGTTACTTTTAAGTGTTAAACAAAGAAATTATAAATTAGCTAAGTCAAATTATTATAACGGCTCATGCCATGATATCCTCTCATACATCTCTATTAATCAATACCATTTTACAATGTGTGTTCTTTTAACACATTTTCCTTCCTTCACTTCATTAATAGCTTAATATTATGTTCGAAATCTAATCTGATTTAAATGGGTTTTTTTTTAAATAATTTTACTATCGTTGTTTAAAAATTAATGCACTTTGTCGCTGACCGTTCGGCTATCGTACTATTTTCACCGAAAATATTTTATTCTAATTAAATTTGATTTCTGTTTTCTTTTTCAATCAATATGGAATCATTTAAGCTTTATTATTTTAACAGTATTTTAAATGATTACATATATACACATCAAATAGAAATTCTCATTTTAAACACAGATTTAAATAGAGAATATTTGTCCAAACATTTTGACAAGCGTAATAACATTAATAACATCGGTAATGACTAGGTACTGTTTATTATGAGTTATAAATTTATAACAGTTTAAAGTTTAGACACGAAGAGTAGGAAAGGGTAATAAACTTTTCAGAGAACCTAATAATAATAAATGATTTTAAAAAAAAAGTTATGGCGTTTTTCTATTCTGATGGCGAAACTGTATGACCGCGAATCAGTATGTGGGGGCGAGTCGGTGCAGTCAAAAGACAGCTGGCTCTGCTAAGACTGCATGCATTAAACTTGTCTTAACATTTTCAAAATTGTTTGTTCCCCTTCGCACAATGGTGCATTTACGGAGGAGGGGGGTCCATGGGGTCCAGACCCCCCATTAACCTCATTTATACCTATCTAAACATCCGTGCTCATATAAGTTGCAACCTTATAAAATGTTATTTTTTTTCGTAACCGTGAAAAAATGTAATCACAATTGTTATGAATGGCTGCCACTTGCTAGTCGGTAATCGTTAAGGTGCAGTGATAAAATTCCTATAGAGGAACAACCTCTCTAGAACAACCTATCTGATATCCCTTATAAACTGCATATATATATATATATATTATTAATAATTTTCGATTGTCAGCACGATTATAGATAGATGTCATCTATAATCGCATTTGTTAATTTATCTGTTACCTGTCAGTATTCATATTTCAAATATCGTGATTATCGCTATTAAGCTGCCAAAAAAATGATTTGCCAAATATACATTTTTTTTAAATTAAATTATTTTGTATATTACCAGTGTCAACAGCAACGCCTTGAAAAGGTTGACAACATATCTAAGATCAACAATGAATGAAGTAATCTTTTAATTATTTTGAAAAATATTTAATGTATTACAAAAATATAATTTATAAAGTTATAACGGTATTTTTAATTTTATTATTATGTAAACGATGATAAATGGGCTAGCAATGATGTCCATTCATCGGGATATCTAAATGTTGATGGAATTATCAATGAATTAGCATTAAACCATAGAAGATTAGATTTTGTACTATAACATTTTTTAATGCATTGTAATAAATTTAATTTTCAATTCAGTGTGTAATCGGGATGTGTGGGGGGGCAGAGCCCCCACTTACATTTGTTTGAAAATTTAGCTGAATCCCATCCATGAAAAATATCTAAATACGCTACTGCCTACGCCTATACACAAGCTTTACCGTTTCAATAACACCACTGCAGTTATTAATCTGCCTATATATATTATTTAAGAAATATTATTGTTTGTAGAATTTTTCGTATGTGAAAACGATAGTGTTGGATTTTTTTTTTTTCTAGAGGTTTTGCGAATGGATCCCGGACGTGGGTATCTTCTCGACGCATTATAAGGGTAGGAAGCTATTTACTTTCAAATAGGTACCTGCTAATATTCTGAAAGGTCTTCTTATTAAAAATTGCTCTTTTCGCGTACATCAAGTGCACGACTAAACTATTTCTCCGACTATTTCAAACTTCATGATTCGCTGCCAGCAGTGAACCGGCAAATCAGCGCAGCCGCATAATCTAGCGATAACCATTTTGATAATAATATAAAAATATAATACGTAGTTGCATCGAGCGTGATAAGTATTGATTTGAGTGGAATTCCGAATATTATTACGAACATAAAATATTTCAGTATCGTTCATAAATGTATTATAAGAAATTGTAGGTATATTTGAATCAAACAACAAACAATATAATATAACAATAGAATAGACTGCACTCGATCAGCTGATCTAATTTTATTTATCTGTGATTAGAAGTATGAACCCTAGTCCCTAAGGAAAACGTTTCCGTTAACCAGTCATGAACAAACGATTTCTTAGATACGTTCGTTTATCCAAGAACAACTAAGCAGTGGTGTAATTGTGTGTGTGTGTGGGGAGGGGCATTTGCTTCCTGACCTTTTTGTGAGGGGCAAAGGTGTCATTTTATCCCTCCCCCCTCGATAATTCAACAGTACAAATCTTTGAATCTTTTTAAGTTAAGAAAGAATGCAATACATTTAACATAAAAAAATATTTTTCCACAAATTATTATTAATATTAAGAGTTTACATTTAGGTTTCTTTTGTTGTACAATATTATATTGACGTATCGTCAAATGTTATCGCAATAAACGCAATGTATGCATTACACAAATAATCCAATAATGTTATTTCATAAAGTATAAACGCGGTTTAATATTATTATCTTGAGATCGTGATTATGACTACAAGTAACGGGAGGTTATTTTTAGATCAATTACAAATTACAATAATAACTGACAATATAATTATTATTTTGTCTCGTTTATACCTACTTACCCATTGCAACATTACGTTGCGCCGTGATAATGTGCTTTACTGAAGGTTTATAATATTCTGTACTTACTCACCAGTCACAATAAACGACAGTTGACATTGTTCAATTTCATATCATTCAAATCGATCGAGCTTACCGTGTTTAATCGGATGTTTAAGACAAAGCATGATGAGTTCAAAGTCAATAATAAAATAACATGTTTGTTTAAAAAAAAAAAATCATTAAATTAGTCGTTGGTTATTGATAAAACCGTAATTGAACAGTAAATAATAATTTACTGTTCACTAAATATAAAATATGTGTAAATAATAATAATTTTATACTAGTTACATTTTTGAACTACAAATAGCACCTCTTTATGAATGAAATCTTATGTAGGTACCTCCTTAACATTATTGATCAACATGGGTACCTAGTTAGTACCCAATGGCGGTTTTTGAACTTTTTTCTGGGGGGAGGGTCCATTGATATTAATTGACAATATATTTAATATGTACAAAATATCTAACCAATTTATTTTATTAATTTATTTTAATTAACTTATATATTGTTTTTACTTATCTACGTGAATGTACCTGTACGCGAATACGCTTTAATCAACAACAAATTAAGTTTAATTTAAAAATTATAACACAAAATCTAGTTTTCATAGTTTAAATTTGGAGTTTAGGGTGGGAGGGTCAGACTCTCTGGAACCCTCCCCCCATAAAACAGCCACTGCTAGTACCTACTTGCAACCTACAATTTGTTGTTAAACAATAGAATGCATTTTAAAACTTGTATAAAAACAAAAACAATTAAGTAAGTGTACTGTAGGTATATAATACGCCTTACAATAAAAATATGTTTGAACCAGGAGGGGACTAAGGGTTTTTATTATAGTGGATAAAATATTTTGCCCCTCCCCCTAGATTTTTATCCAGTTACGTCGCTACGACCAAGTACGTCTATATTGACAAATTACAGTATCTGTTAATATTAAAACTCGTGGTTAGTGGTGGACAACCTTCTACGTTACCTATTTCAGAGCACATTTATTGAGTTTCAAAGATTTAAGGTAATTATTTTATTTAACACATGGATATACAGAGTATCTCACATCTGGCTAAACATGTTTTTGAAATTTTTTTTTAAAATTTTCATTAACATTTCGACTTAAAACGCTTATAAACAAAATCTACTATACATTATACTCAACATTTTTTTTTAGGTATCACTAAATTTAATTTATGATGAACCTCACGTAAGTGACAAAATTTACGGGAGTGTTAAGTGTGTAATTTATGCCCATAGATAATTGTATACACATAGCCTATCCATTATATGACCATATGTACACTATCAATAATACATTATATCTTTTATCCTACTCAGCAATATCGCAATATTTTTTATCTATCAAAATATAATAATTCTTGAGTGAGACAGAAAATTCAGGAACACCTGATAATGATTATGGCCTATCCATTATGGCATCTATGTTTACACCCAACTCGATTTTAGAGCCCTCGAGATCTCAAATGCTATATAGTATGTAATACTTATACACACCAGATCCATTTTAATTTTGGAGAAGGGCATCTTAAAAAAAATTACAACAAAGCAAAAAAAAAAAGGTGATACCGTTGTTGGGTGCAGCCACTGTTGCAGGTGAGAAGTTGAGAAGGTATATAGAATACATATTTACATAAGGTTATATTCATATTTGTAAGCATCGATAAACCACTGATAACTTATTTTTTGATTGTAGTAAGATTTAGATTTCTGATAGATAATTTGTTCACAGATAGAAAAAAAAAATTATTAAAAAATAAAAATACACCATAGAACAATCAATATATTCATCGCTTCTTTCCGCTCTTTTCCTTGAAAATTTTTTATTATTTATCCATTGAACAATTAATTATTTGTGGAAATAAAAAACTTTTGTACAGTATATTATAGTTTGGGGTGAAAAGCCCCTGGCCTCTCCTAGATCCGCCACTGAGACATATACACACATACAAATACACACACACACGACACAGGGTATAGGTATGTTTTTATTGCGATCAATACTAACTTAATTTCACCAAGGGCATTAAAAATAGTTAGCGTGGCGCTTTACATACGGGTTATATTATATGTTTAACTTTTAAATAGACAGACAGGATTGGTGTATAGATAGAGACCTTTTTTTTTTCCAATTTTTACATTTATTTAAATAACTGGCAACCCTAAAGGACCCCAGTTTGGAAATATTCATATAGACCCCTTATTATCAAGTTGCGCCACTGCTCCGTGTTCGATGTTCAACACTGTGATATTATATTGGTCAACCTGGTTATCTATCCCTCTTATAATTTAATTTGATGTATTGTATTATTATGCATTCTATTTTCCCTTTACATGCACAACGTGTGTGTGTTGACACTAATTAGCCGATCTGAACCATGTGCCCCTTTTTATTTTAATCGAGTTGTCTTATTTAAATTCATATATAATAATAAATGCATTCTGTTTTTCTATACACCTAATGTGTCCAATAAATTAATTCCTATTGTTATCCAACAAGAACCCAACTAAAACCAATACATGTTTGCAGTACCAAATCAATAATTAACCACATAAGAGAATAAAATAAAACATACATATAAAAAAATTAACATTTCAAATGGCTTAAGTTATACCTCAAAAATCACCACAATATTTAAAAAAAATCACAAGTCTTCACGTGAATAATATATATTAAAAAATTGTTTAAAAAAGGCGGCTTAGAATGTATTTTTAAGATAGGTATATTTACGTAACTACTTAGTTTCGGTATATTACCATCATCAGGTTACTTATAACATTGTTTTTGGTTAATTACATATTAACAAAATGTAAACGGTTAATTTAACTATATTATATATAAAGGTAAATTAGTGAATATAATAATGATCATCGTTTCTGAATACATGTTTATACCTATATTAATTTTCTTTTCGCACATCATACTTTATAATATCGTCTAAGGAAAATTATCATTGAAATTGAATTTATAAAGATAGGTAGGTACGCATGAAAAGTAAAAACTTATACGAAATAAACGGGTTATCATTAGAATACCTATATTATATAGTTAAAACGTTGCATCTGTAGTCTGAATGACGAATTCCCAAGAGCACAAAAAGGAAATTTATGTACCAATACTTTTTCCTTCCATAAAAGTTCAAAAAGTATCTTCCTATCTACGCACTATTTTTTCACCTTGATTATGATTGGACTTAAATCGAGATTTTTATTTCATGTGAAACTGTACAGCAACAATATATAGAGTTACACGTATAGAGTGGTGCAGGCATCAGAACTTTTTATCCAACTGGATCAGACTGGTCAATGATTTTAGGGCAAGCAGAATTAAATATTATCTTTATACCTAGAGAGGTTCCCCCCTCCAAAAAAAATCGTAAAATACCTCTCGAAATTCTATTTAAAAACTGTTTTGTGCGGGAAAACTTTACTTTCTCCGTATTTACAGTTGAATGTTTAACATTTTCCACTTTCACAGCAAATTAATGTCATAGAGTGCCTTTAAAAAAAAAAATCCCGAAAGTTTATAAATCGTTTACTCTAATTGTGTATTTATATGTTAATTGAAGCATAGTGCTATAAGAAAAACGTATGATAAACCTTTGAAAAACCAAACAATTTTTATCCAAATGAAAAAAAAGTCCGAAAGATTTAAATCACTATAAATAGTTAAAAATTGCCGAGAAGTTTTGAAAATTTTACCACATTTAAAATTGATAAAGGTATTCGGTGAAAACTCCAGATCTCTACGATTATTTTTAATCATGAATATCAACAAAAAAATTAAATCTTAAATAACAGAAACCATTATTGCGTAAATTTTTCCCATTGCCAGTATTAAGAAAATTACAAGGAAAATGGAAAAAAAATGTTTCCTCAATGCACTAACTAGACCCATGAATTGGAGCAAGAATTATGGTACAGAAAAGTTGTTAATAGACAAACAAATAACACATGTCATAGTAAAACCGTTATATTTTTAAACCTGATATGATTTTCTAATGCATCAAATAGATGCACAGTGCTACAAAAAGCTCTTTTGTCATTTTTTATAGTAGCTATATTTCTGGCTAAAAAGTTGTTGACAGGCACGAAAAACATACATTATAGTAGAACCGATACATTCCTCACCACGTTCAGAATATAAAATAAGTACATTACAATGATCCTTATCATAATATATAGATGGGGACATTTTTTAAAAATTCAGGGAATAGCCAGATAAAAAAAATAAAAAAAATAATAATAATAATAATAATACTCATTACTCATACTACTCACATAGAATTATAGAGTAGGCCAACTATGGTGCCAAAACATTTCAGGGTGGACCCGGGCCCACCTTTGGCCTCCCGTTGTCGCAATCGCTTTACGTATAATACGAATAGGTTAAGTTCGCCTACGTTTGTATTGCGAATTTTTCATTTGTTTTCACCGCAAACAGCACATTACAATATTAATCAAATTTCCGATTATACGTGTGCATAATACATATTATAATAATATTATTATGCAGGTGTTAAAACAACTTTTTAGGTTTTACGGCAACATTTGATATACATTTATGTAATAGTGTTATTTTTTAACACGCTCATTAACTATAATATGGGTACCTACTAATATTATTAGTCGATATTGAGACGGACAAAAACAAATTCCAATTAAGACGATTATTCGTGGGGGAAAATAAATTCACTCCGACGGATCAAGCATATATTTAGTTATATTACGAATAGACGTAGTTTTATAGCTCTCATCTAAATACACAGAGTGATATAAAACATTTTATGACTATACAATATAGGTTTTTTTTCCGTGTATAGATAAACTATAAACTATATTTAAATTTAATGGTTTTTTAAGAATAAAATTGCCTTTAAAAAACATTTATAACGACCCTAGGGGGTATACACTACAATAATCAAACTTTTTATGTTTCGTTTTTAATCTGTTTTGATTTTATCCAAACAGAACTTCGAGGCGACAATTTTAATATTTTAATACTCTACAGTATAGTAACATTATCGGTAACGGAAAAAATTGAAATTCGTGTAACTGCTTTATGTTATGGTAAATCAATTTAATGCTTTTCGGGCTCTAGTTCAACATGAATTATCTCAATTCGATTTATGTTCATTATCATGATAAGAGTTAATTTTGTGATTTTCAAAGGAGTTTTCAAAATAATTTGACAAAGTCGGAAACAAAATATTATAAAAAAAAACCGGCAAATATTTACAGTGTGCCGCAAATAAAGGCATATTACTATGATCTTCATTTGTATAATTTCTTTGTAACGGGTTCCATGGTAAGTCCAATATAAGTATTATTACCAAGTTTCAAGTCTCTACGTGTATTTATAACCGAATTACAGGAAAAAAACATCTAAAAATTAAAATTCCTATTGTACCACACTTGGCTAAATTCATAGACATAAATATGTACAAGGCTAAATTTTGTGTTTTCAGTACTCAATGATTAATGTTTATCAGCCGCGGCACCGTGCAATATTATTGTTATTATAATATCAATCTACATGATGATAAAAATCAGGCAAAACTACGACTATGGGTGTAAAATATTTTACTCCTTATATGGTCACACTCGCTGTTTTAGACACGTGCATTTTAATATATTTTATGGATCTATGGCGATGGCACTCACGTTTTTCAAAGTAGGCTATCAAAATAAAGACAAATATTTTGGAGTTTATTCGTAGTGCTCGATATATTATAGGTAAATTAAGTCAATATATAGAAAACAATCTAAAAATTAACCTTACAAATTATCGGTACCTATTTTACTGTTTTTGAGTAATGTCGTTGTACTTAGTGATAAGAAAAAAAAAATTGTCTGTTATGTAGTTAGGTAGTTTTTTTTATNTTTTAGACACGTGCATTTTAATATATTTTATGGATCTATGGCGATGGCACTCACGTTTTTCATCACGTTTTATCAAATTTCGATATAAATCGTAAATATTACGGCCTTTCAACCATGTATGATCGATCTTCGGTTCGGAATCGTTTTTCGTTGCCAGTGGTTTATCGTTATTTACAGATGTAAATTAAATTACTTTATAAATCCGGCCTTTCCAATATTTTACATTTTTTGTTTATACGGCTAAAGTTATTTTTTTTTACACAACACTGAAATTGTGTTATGTTAGGATTGATTGGCGGTTGTTGCGTTTCGTTACCTGACTGATGTCCCGGTCCATGGCGTTGGTGAGAATCCATTCGCGGACTTGTTCGTGATGTTCGCTGTCGACGTACATGGCCTGAGGCAGCGGTATGTTAGTCGGAAAGTCGGTTCCTTGCAGGTCCGCGTCGTCGACCATTTCGTTTTGCCCGTCCGCAATGGCGTCCGTTATGTCCAGATAATGGTTCAGGAACACGAACGCCTCGGCGTTGCGTTTGCCTTCCTAAAACAGATGTACCAACGGTAATTCAGTGGCGTTACGAAGGTTTGACCGGAAGGCTGTAATTTGTTGAATAGCGTTTCGTCGGAAATGTGTATTTTGTCGGAAAGTAGTCTCTAGGTGGCGCATTTACGACTGTATTAACATTAAATAGGACAAAGTCAAAATACATAATGTATATTATGTTTATGCGTGTAATAATTCTAGATTCCGGGTTGAAAATGTTCGATTTAGTTAACGTTGGCGTAATTCGTAAAATCTCCAAGTGTTTTAATCTGTTCTCCCGGGGTTTCGGGAAAAGTGATCCCATCCCTTAGAAATAAACATCTAAATTAGATCGGTATTCATGGATGTTATACAGTTTAATACGATGCCACGCAATCATATGTTATGCTTCTCACGGTAAAGGAAAAATCGAGAATGTTATTAAAATAATCCGGAAACGAATTCGGAGGTTTCGAAATCATTTCGCGTACAATGCTTTCGAATCGGTGAAGTCGTTTTCGGATGACATTCAGGGTGTCTTTTGGCGGTCCAATTTTTTCAAACATTTTCAACAATTCAACAATTTTTTACAAAACACAAGTGTGTTGAAATTCGAATTTGTAATCGAATATTCTGTAATCAACGACACATTTTTCGACCAACTATTGTGCGCTATCCGGCGGCGGCCGGCGTAGCGGGTCATTTTAGTTTCCAGTACACGTCCAAATGAAGCTCAATAATAAATATGAGACGGCGCGTCGTGACTTTTTTTCATTCACCGTGGCACGGTGTACAAAGGAAATCAGAAAGTGAGCGGAGATATGAGGTGATCGGTATAAATTTCAGTCATCGCGTAATCGCATCAAATGAAGATAACAAAAAGTCTGTTCTTATCAAACTTTTGTTGAACACTGCGAGTATTTCGAAGAGGAGAGTGGCCAACGCGCCAACGCGGTGGACGTGCGTGTTCGCACGTTACCGGTCGCTGGCAACCTCTACGGCCCGGCCAGCGCGCGGTGACCGGCAGCCGCCATTCGCCGGTCGCCGCGCGCATACAAAAGTCGCCGACGCCGTTAATTGTCGTCGGCCGCCGGTCTTTCGTCACCGTTCACCGCCGTCTCCGGTGCGCGTACCGCAATAACTTACCGCGCTGGTCGTGCAGGTACACGCCGCGATCGTGAATAATATTACCCGCGGGCAAATGTGCGCGTGCGAAACACACTACGCGGCAAATTGGCCGGCGCCCGCTAAATACGCGCGTCGTTACGCGGCGTCGCGCCGGGGGGATTAACGATAATATCGTTTGTTCGGGAGAATTACATTTTCGGGGGCGGCGGGAAGGATCGGTGAGGGCAGGGCGCCGCGCGCGTCTTTTGACTCGTAAACTCCGGGAGCCTCATAATAATAATAATAATAATAATAGTAATACGCATAATAATATGCAAAGAGATATATCATAGGAGAAAATAACGTTTCGCTGTATTGCACAAAGTAAATAAGTTAACGTTTCCGACCGTCGCGCGTCGTCCTCGTCCTCGTCGTCTTTTCGTTTTATTATTATTATTATTATCGTTAAGAGAGCGCGAATAACTTCCCGGCTAATATCGTCAGTCTATACTGCTGCACGCCCGTGTACCCGAGGTAATAAAATAATACACAATCGTCTGCACACGCTCGCGCAACACAATTTACCGTAATGTTATAATTTAAATTAATTTATAACCGACCGTCGTTGCCGCCGCCGCCACCGTTACGCGCGCGGAACACCGTCGTAATAATATTTTTTATTTTTATTTTTTTTTTTGAAATTTCCGTTTGCCGCGCTCGCTTTTAAACTGCCGCGTCGCGCGTTATCACACGATATTTTTATAATGACGCCGTCTGCGCGCGCTTTCACCCGACTGCCGGACGTTTGTCGCGCTTTTACCGCGCGCGACGCGACGGATCGAAATAACAATACGACCACGTCGATAATCGACAACCGAGGTAAGTGTGGCGGGTAACCCCCCCCCCCGGGTATGGAAATGATAGTAGCAGAAAAATAAGGACAAAACAGACCGACGTACTTCGCACGATAGGCGCGGCCACTGTTGTTGGCGAGAAGTTGGGAAGGTGGGATATAATGAGGGGAAATCGATTTGTATCTGTAAGCAACGACAAACACCGTTGCTAACTTAAAACGATTCCGAGCGGAGTCGGTTGATGGTGATGATTTGTCAACGATATGTACGTCATATTATAGTAAAACAATTAAATAGGCATTATTTGTATTTAAAAAAAAAAAAAAAAATAAATGTTTGTTTAATACTGTACCGATTTTCCCTTTTTTTTTTTTTTTTTACGTTTTTCCCGGTTTTTTTACCATTTGCTGGGATAACACTTGGGAAAATCGAAAAATGACCTCTCTAAAGTACTCCCCTAGTCAGATTTTTTTTTTAGACTTTTTTTTTTCTTGACAAATATGTAAATTCTTAATTTTAGACTTTGGTATTTCAATGCTATTTATCGGCTATTTACAATTTTTAAGTTTTACGTAATATAACATGGTATCGTCTTTGAAAAAAAATGGTAGTTATCGCGGATTTATGTGTTCTATGATCAGTATTCGCGGATGATGTTTTGCAATGATCCGGCTACAAAATCGCATAAATAATCTCGGCGTATAGGTTGCGTTTATTAATAATTTAAAATACTCTAACTTTGTACGTATTCAACCATCATAAATTATTGTAGGATTTTTTTTTTCAAATAACATATCTGTCCGATAGTCGTAAAGAAAGAAAATAATATATATATATATACATTTTTTAACTCGATATAAATAAAAAAAGCCTGCAGTTTTTTTTTTCATAAAGAATAAATTCGGTCATTATTGCATTCAAAAAGTTATAACTTTTCCCATATATTTTTCAAAACTTATGTATTCGATTTCATTTTTTTTTTTTTTTTTTTTATTAAGTGTACTTGGGTAGTTCTTATAGAATTTGACCGTGTTGTATTGTAAGGAGTTCCGCTTTTCTTTAAAAATATTTGTCTATATTATTGTACCGGGAATAACGTTTTACTTTTATTATGGAGAAAAAATGAATACGATTTTTATTGTACACAATACGTATAGAATTATGCAAACGAACGATGTAAACATCCATTACATTTAATCTGCAAAACGCAACCAAGCCGCTTGGAGTCTGACCACGGTTATACCATATAACCATGCCGCATGGTTGTATTCAGCAATAATTTACAATGGTTATTATCATGCACTACGTTTCCGAAATATTGACAGATAGCGTTACACTTCAATAGCGGTACGGTTGTTTTTAGCAAAATGCGTAAACTGAAATTTTCTACCCGGTTAAACTACGATCCGGATTTTAAAATTTTGAGAAACGGTGACCGCCTTCTGCATAACGCCGTTCATATGATATCATACTTGCTTTTTACGCGTACAGCTATACAAAGAGGTTATTATTTTCAACGATTTTAATCGAATTTATTTTATTATTTTAAAGGTATTATATCATCGGCTATTGTACGCCGTTGTAAACGAATAAATTATAGGGACATTTGTTGCAAAATTTTCTATTTTTTTTTCCCGTCATATTTTGAACGGAAGCACCTATTTTACAATAATATATTCGAAATATATAATATACAATTTATTTTATTACGGCTTTTATTTTTGTTATCAAATACCTACGCGTTCATGCATTAAGGGGTTTCAGTGTTTGTTAAACACATTAAATTTACTACGGAACGATTCAAAATTAAAAGTACAGGATTGCATAAGAAAAAAAACGTTTTATTTTTTAAAACGGTGTTTTATGTATTAAACAGTTTTTATTGTTATTTTGTTTGTTTGTTTTAAACATTGTTTAAATCTAATTTTTTTGTTTAAACTAAGTTTTTTAAAAATAATCATAAAAATATAATATTTTTCATTATTCAATATATTGCTGCCCTCACCGGTCTTATATCGGATGATGGTTGTGTAATAATTGTTTAAAATAAAAAAAAAAAGAGCTGATACTGGAGTAGAGAACGTCCAGGTAAGTCCAATATAAGTATTATTACTAAGTTTAAGTCTCTATGTGTATTTATAACCGAATTACAGAAAAAAAAACTGTCAAAAATTAAAATTCCCTAAAAGCTCAAAATTGGCTCAAAAGTTTTAGTAATGATACCGCAATAAAGTAAACAAAAAAGATATTATGTGATTTTTCGATTATATAATTTTTTTTTTTGGTAGAAAACGTCGTCCGTGTTTTTATAAAATAATTAAATCGTGAAATTATACGTTTTCCTGCGTTTTTTCCCACTTGAGTGATTTTATTTAAAAAATGGCGTCGAAAATCAAAACAACCACCCTTTGAAGTACCATATAGACAACTTGAGTTTTCCGAAAAAATGCTACACGTAAAAATCGGAGCAAGTTTACCAGGAAAAAACGCGTCCACAGACTAGAAGAAAAAAAATACATCTTAGTAAAACCAATAGCTCCCTCGCTACACTCGAAATCTAAAACTGAAAACATCTATTATACCAACCTTGACTTTCATGCTTATACTTAAGGGTTGAGATTTTTTTTTTTATTACATTTTTAGATAAAAAGTATTTGTGTTTAATATAATAAAATTACTATGATCATTCTATGATAGATTCTGACACATAGTGACATAAAATAGTACATGTAAAAGCTTTTGTTTTTAAAATTAATATTCAATCACCAAATAGCAGATTATAATATTTAAATAACATCACATAAAAAGAATCAACAAATTAGGCCATTATGAAACGATGACATAAATATTCAAAACTAAATTAGATGTTATGAATGAGAAAAAAATGTAGTCTACAAAAGATATTGAATAATAACCAATACTGAACCGAGTGCAGAAAAGCTGATAAAAAAATAAAAAAAATTAAAAATGTTAAAGTTAACCGAAATTTAGTAGTTAATAGACAATAATTATCATTGTGATATCTTGAACATTTATATGACAGTGGGACCAACTTCCTAGATTAATTTTTAAAAATAAGATAAATAATTGTGTTTTAAAGGACTATAAAGAAACATGTTTCAAACGTTAATGTATTAAAACAAGAGGTTATATTTAAAATAATTAAAACCAATGGTTTTAAACACTTCGCAACCCTGATTAAAACTGTACATTGATGGTTGTCATACTAATAAACTTATTCGAAATATTTTTTATATCTACCTAAAGTCGTGTCAGTGGGAAAAGTGCGTAGTGTCTCAATAATATAATATATTATTAAGAGGTAACATTTGTTTGTATGTTAGGGGCGATCTTCGGAACTATACCGGATCGATTTTCATTTTTTTTTTTTTTTTTTTTTTTTTCTATAGATTTCTTACGTTACACCGCGGAGATTATAGGCTAATCGGTTTTCAATTTTTTACATTTTAAAACGCTAAATTCGATCACTATTTAAAACAGTTGAAAATCAACGTACCGCACTGCACAGCATGTACAGATTTTTGTTGATTTAGAATCATTTTGTTGGCTTCTAAGCACAACAAAAAGCAACTATTATTATTCGGTTTTCTCACTTTTACGAGGAAAAGTGTGCACGTATGCATGTATGTTTGTAGGAGGTAATCCCCGGAACTGGCCGCTTTGAGTCTGGAAAATTATTTCACCGTTGGAACTGGTAGAAAGCTAAAATAATCCCGGGTGATATAGGCTATATGTTCACGAATTAAAACCGTAAAAGTGGCTGACAAGGAAATTTTCGGTACGAAAAATCATTCGATTTTCGTTGATTTATGGGTTATCTCGGTTGCGCAAAGACGAGAACAACTATTATTATTGATTTTTAATAATTTAATTTAATTTGCATATGCTACGGGCTGTATAGCTAGTAGTGCTGAACAGCTAGAATTACAATATTACATTTTTTATTAAATCATTCAATTTTAATGGATGCATATATCTTATATCTTTATATATATATATGTATAGACTTACGGAGTCTTCTGAATTATTCGTAGTTACAGTAAACTTAAAAATTGTCCATAAAATATTTGTTTAAAAATACCCGGGTAAAAACCTTTTTTGAAATCAAAATATATAATTCTAAAATTGGACATAGTCTTTATTTTGTTTGCCTTTATTTTTGAGGGGAGATTACAGTGGCGTGCGCAAGGGGGGGAGGTTAGAGATTATATCTCCTTCGTTGGCTTAAAATACAAAAAAAATATGAGTAGTTTAATGTCGAAATACATTTATTTCAGCCAAGTTACGAGAAAAACTCGACAAATTGATTAGAAATTGGCCTTTTTCGTTTTATGGGATCCGGCTTTTGAATTACCAATTCCCGCAGTCAATTTGGGTAGAGAAGACGAATTTATGATTTATTCATGATTCTTATTTGCTGCATGTCCTCCCATTGATAATTCCTGGGCATGCCAATGGAGGTGAAACTACTATAACTTTTTGGTTTTCAAATAGAAATCTATATTAAACATTGCGTAAATAGACGATGTTTTTGTTTAGATAAATTTTGGTGATGAAATTTTATATTTCCGTAAATCCATTGACATAGTAATGCAATATTTACACAATTGATAATTTTATTTCGACATTGCTGCTTAGGTAAAAGGTATTGTACTATATAGGTACTGTCTAGTTAAATGTGTTTTATTTAACAGATTTTAAAAATGTTTATCGTAATTAATAATATAAAACTGTCATATATTTAGAGGATATAAAATAAAGGAAGAGTTTTTGAATAATGTTAATCGTAATTGCCCGAAAACGAGTGAAAAAACTACAGGTATAATATTATATTTATGTATATATACACAAATATTATGGCTAACACAAGATTGATGAGTGTTTTTAACAATAAACAACAATGATTTACTATCCGAATTAATAAAATTAGAGGATTTTTTTTTTCGTATTCGAGTTTTTAAAAATAATGGTATTTGTACCGTGAAAATATGAATATCATTATTATGATAATTTATTCGAGATTTAACGAAAATATATAGTTATACTCGTTAGGAGATTTACATTTAATTGCGTGCAATAATATAGTATACACAATATACTCGTAGGATCGTCCACGCGGTTCGCAATAAGTTTACGAATTTTCGCAGTAGGTAAATAGTACCGTTATAGTATGCTATAAAATAAAACAGTTTTAATATTATCGCGCAGACATTACCGTTTTTTTTTTTCTCTTCTTAGGCAAATTTGATTTGTCTGCGCAGCGTTTGAACGGATTTCCGGAAAGGGGGGGGGCCCAGTATTTAAACTATAATATGTAGCAGACGTATTATTTCCGTTCGTTATTTTATATTCTCTTAATTATCAAACGTATAATAATAATAATAATAATAACCTTTGATTTTGAATACCGTATTAATTTGCTTGTGTACGTAAAAGTAAAAGGGTTTCGGTATACAGGTCGGTGCCTATAATCATAAATTTACGTGTCTCTTGTTATTATTCACAAGCGACTAAATCTGTCACATGCACGTTATTTCGATATCATAGCGTGGGAAGAGGGTTAAAATTATTTCGGGCTAAGGCAGTGGTGGTTGTTTTTCTTAGTAATTCTGGTGTAGATGTTTTCGTTCGGATACAGTTTCCAATCGATAATACAAATATTACAAGATTGTCGCCGTCGTGCAAAAAATTTAGATTTGAATATGTGTATTTTACATTTGGATTTCAATCAAAAATATTATTTATCAAGTGGTTTACGTAAACTGTTTACGATATCTTCACTTTGACACTTTTTTTTTTGTATACTAGTATGTTATATTATACAGGGCCCAGTGCTTGAATTTGGGGTTAATTAATTATTTCGGATAGGGCGGGAGAGGGGGGGTTGGTACATCTCTTTAAATAAATAATAATATTTTACCGCCAGTATTAATATTTTGTACCACATCCATATTATGCATTACCTTTGATAAGTAAAGGACATAGGCCGATGAACTGTATTGCCTTAAAATATTGCTTAAAAAAAATAATAATAACAACTATGAAGAGTTATGGTTTATGTTGAATTGTAATTGAAAAGACAATTTAGACCTGTATCTATGTATACTGTTATTTTATACAAAGCGGACGTCGCTGTAATACTCAAAATCACTTGGAACGGTCCGGGCATATCCAAATACGTTCTATCCATTCTCCACTTCACCTATACGGTTTATTCGGTTGTAAGATTGATTTTTTGCTGGTCCCAAAGTGAGTCTTATAAGCGGCGTCCGCTGTAGTATAATACATCAAAGTGAGTGATTTGCCTATAGCTTTTATGTATGTACCTACATAAAATTCAAATGCCACTGATCATTACTTCTCAAAAACGATAAAACGTATTTAGTATAAAATTCGGAGTAATGATTACTCATTCCTCCAAAGCTCTGGACGTGCAATAAGAAATATTTTTGAACATTTCACTTTCAAGGCTATAATGTTAACTTACAATTAATAATTAATGTAAAGTTATAAAATATTTCTATTGAAATAACGAAGTGTAGTAGATTATTTATTTTTAAAAATTGGCGTGAGAAGGGTGTGGGGTGCAGAGCACTCCACGGGTTAAGTCGAGTTAAATTATTCCTGTAGGGACGCTACTACGTATCATAGTAACCCTGTTTTTATTTTTCCAACGCAAGCATTGGTAGGCCCGTGCAGGAACGAAATAATGCACGTTTAAAGATAGCTTTTTTTTTTTTCACTTTTTGAACTACGTCAGCGATTCCGAATTACACCGATTTCGGTGAAATCACATAAATTACAAACGTCGCTAACAGTCGGTATCCAGATACGTACGCATATAACAGGTACCGCGGGTGTTCTATTTCGTTCTATTTAGTATGCATCGACAAATTTCGGCATGGGAGTGATAATGTCCGTCCCGATAACACGACGTCACGACGGCGTTCAGTCTGTTTCAATATTATAATCATAGCGACTTGTAATACGTCTAGGCCGGAGGAACGTTCACCCCGAGGACAGCATTACAACACTTTGTTTTTTATCGAATCTCACGCGTTTCTGTTCTCGAAACGAAACTCCACCCACCGGAACGCGTTTTCGCGCTGAATGTTCCGTCTGGAAGATGCACAAGTCTGTGATTATGATACACGTGTGCCCGTGTAGCCGCGCACGTGGAGGGTGTACGAGTGTTATGATAATAAGTCGTGTATCTTAATGTATTAATAATATATCTGTACGTACTTGTGCGGCGATGCCCGCCTCGTAATAGCCTTTGTCGGCCGGAATAATATCCGTGTACCTCAGCAGAGCCACCAGTATCTTTACGACCAGCGTGCCGAGGGACGAAATGTCGCGAAACGCGCACCGCATGGCGTACAAATGCGACACGAACATGTATTTCTCGAACTCTGTCCCGCAGTCCGAATCCGTTTGGTTGACGTTCTCCGTCTGCAAACCAAAAAAAAAAAAAAAAAAAAATTAAATAATCGTCACTTTACGGTCTTTTGATCATTTTTTTTATGCGCACAATTTTCGTGACACTGTCCTTGGAGTACATTTCAAAAATAATATTTCGTTTGAAAACGACAAACTATTTGTGCACGTAAATACGGGTCCGATTACGTTTACAATATTGTCTATCTTGTACGTATATTAGTGATAGATATGCAATTTATTCGAGAACTTTTAACGTTTCTCGTTTTTTTTTTTTTTTTTTTTTTTTCCCCAACAAGTTTTAAATTTAACATTTATACGTCCAAAACTCGGCTATTTTTCAGCGCGTAGGAAGTCCGGTATGACCGTTAATGTCCATTGAACGAATAAGAGTAAAAATAATTACCCAAAAACTAAAGCTTTTCACTACTTTAAAAAAAAAAAAAAAAATATCGCCACGCGCACTGGCGAAATAATTAAATGGCGTTAAAAAAGTTTAATCAGTGTAATAATTGTATTTTGCTATACACACGTTTGTTGGGCACCCGAAAAAACGGAATGCAAATTCTACGCGCAGAGTTATTGAGCGTTTCCAAACTAACGAATACGCGTCGACTGTGTAGATAAAAAAACAAAACACAAGACATTACAATATAAAGCCGAGGTCTATTGAGCAACTTCGTACCTACGAATTCGTCGAAAAAACAAGTCGATGATATTGTATAGTAGATATTATTTTGATGTCGACATTATATTATTATTATCTTTGTATTTTTTTTTTTTTTACGCTGTTTATTCAAATTCAGACGGCCGCATCGCGCGACTGGAATCGATTCCAAATACATATTCCGAAACAAAAGTACTGAATTATTTATGAACTTCGGGAGATATCACAATTTCCCGGAGAACTTGGCCCGTCATGTGCGAAGATAGATACATTATATGCGCCCATAGGCGCGTTTTTTTTTTTAGATTCCGAGCATGGCGACGTAACTATTGGTTTTGCCGTGCTGTTTATTTACTTTTTTATTTTTTCTTCTCTGTTCTTTGTTCTAGTCTGTGGACGCGTTTTTTCCCGGTAAACTTGCTCCGATTTTTACCAACTTTTCGGAAAACTCAAGTTGTCTTGAGTTGGTACTTCAAACGGGTGGTTTTTTTTTGATTTTCGACGTCATTTTTCAAATAAAAGCACTTAAGTGGGGAAAAACGCAGGAAAACGTACAATTTCACGATTTCATTATTTTATAAAAACACGGACGACGTTCTCTACCAAAAAAAAATTTGTTTAATCGAAAAATCACACGACACCTTTTTTTGTTTCCATTTTGATTTATTTTCTTGCGGTACCGTCGCCAAAACTTTTGAGCCAATTTTGAGCTTATAAGGAATTTTAATTGTTGACAGTTTTTCTTTTTCTGTAACTCGGTTATAAATACACGCAGAGACTTAAAACTTGGTAATAATACTTGTATTGGACTTACCTGGAGGTTGCAAAATTACCAAAACGATCGGACCACTTTTTTTTTTTTTTTTTTTTAATAAGCNAATCGCAATAAAAATGACGGCACTTGAAATTATGTATTACCGAACTGCGCTCGGAATCGTCTTTCGTCAAGCAAATGGTTTATCGATGCTTACAGATATAAATGAAATAACCGTATGTATCCTGTCTTCCCAACTTCTCATCTACAACAGTGGCGACAGTTTTATAAAAAAAAAAACAACACGTTTAACGTAAAACACAACAGTTTTATAAAAACCGTGTCGCAAATTTGTTGCGTGACTTTTGGCCACCTCTGTGTGTTTACAACACAAATACAATGGAAATATAATAAAATATATTATTCTATCGTACGCAACAGTGATCGGAATATAGTAATGTCGGGATTATAAAACAAAAGATCGGGGAAACGGTATGTCTAGGTGGGAGGGGGGGGGGGGGCTTGGCCCCCCTAGGCCCGCCCCCTCCCCCGGGTCCTTCCCCGAACGGCGCGGCCTGAACGCGAACGCGTTTAACGTCCGCCGCACACGACCCTCGTTTTGGCGCGGATCGCCCGCTCGGAACCCGCGACGGTTACCAATGACGGCGCACCGGCCCGCGTGGACCGGACTTCGCGGTCGTACGTGTTCGATTTTTCCCGCTTAATCCGCCGACGGGTGTTAACGTTGACCGGTCAGCGATGACAGCAGCACGTGTCACGTTGCTGCGAGCGATATTACCGCGGGATACGGTGTGCCCTCGTTATCGCGGTTATTACTTCTACTCTCTGCGGTTCAATCACAACAATTGTTTTGTTCTATTATAAATGTCAATGTTATTACTTGTAACGGGCAATCGTCAACAGCAGCTGGTGTTATTTAATCCGTTGCGCGTGCTGTTGCGCAAAATCAATAGGCGGACAAGCGATTTTTGTCTCCGTCCTTAATTGCCCGGTCAATGAAAACGAAATAAGCGTCGCGTTTCGCGTACGACGGGCCGCGTCGCATTTCTTTAGCGACGATTGATTGTCGCGCGCACAGTGATCTATTGACCGTATGCATCCCGTTTTCCCGTTGTCACGTCCACTACAGAGGCGTACCACCGGTCGGCGGCACCGGCTCTTTTCGTTTTTTTTTTTTTTTTATTTTCGACAAGTAATCCGATGTAAATTATAATATCGTAACGCATTATATTTTGCGCGGGTACGCGTAGCACTCCACACCACTAATTTGTTTCGGATCGCGCGCGTTCAATATTTTTAACGACGGATTAAAATCGAATCAGCTTTGTTTGAAAAACGAAATTTTTTTTTATTTTCGCGCGGCGTACAAATATTGTAACGCACACACGCACAGATATTGTGTTTTAAACCCCGCGCGGTATTTTACAACAGTACGCGTGTGCGCGGTACGCAGTGCAATAACGGCCGCGCAGTCCCGCAAACCGCGTTTTTTGTTTTCCCGCGTACGCCGGTCCTAACGATCGGTACCTGGGCCCGGTGTCACGCACGCAACGATGCGATTTACGGTTGCGCGCGTGCGGGGGCGCTTCTAATGCGGCCGAGTCAATTCGACTTTTTTTTTTTTCCGTTTTTTTCTCCGTCTGTTTCGAACATTAATAGGCACGATTTTTATAACTATTGTTGTTGTCCGCCCGCACGGAAATAAAATATTCATGAACCGGATTAAAGAGCCGACTGCCAGGCCGGCGGACGAATAATTCGTGTGCGTAATAACAGCGGATTAATAAACCGCGCGTCGTCGCCCGACCATACACTTCACGCCGATAACGTAAACATTACAACTTACTCGTATTATTGTTATTTTTTATTATTTTTTTTTTCCGTAATTTTAGATTCTGAGGAGAGCGGAGAAGCTTATGGTTTTACAAAGATGTTTATTTATTTTTTTCTGTCTGCAGACGGCTTTTCCACCGGAGGACTTGCTTTGATTTTTTACGTGTAGCACCTTTTCTGACTGGAAATCGGTTTGGGGAGGTACTTTAAAGCAGTCGTTTTTCGATTTTGTCCGGAGTTTTCTCAACAAATGTGAAAAACCGAAAAAAACGGAGGAAATCGGTACAACATTAAACAAATATTATTAAAGAAAATATATAGAGCCTATTTAATTATTTCACTATAATATAGCATATTCATTGTTGACAAAACATCACTATCAATTGAACTCCGCTCAGAATCGTTTTTTCGTAACCAATGGGGCTTATCGTTGCTTACACGTATACGTATTAAATTACTTATAACAATGGCCGCACCCGCTCCCATTATCCTTGGACGTCTTTTTTTTCTTTTCGTAAGCACTTTTACGCACTCTGTTTTACATTTGGAACGAAGAATATAATATTCTAGCCAGGGGCGTTCTGATCCCGAATGGCCGGAATGAAAGCGACCGAGAAGAAGATACGAGTATGTGAAATTTATAAAAGCGTCTTTTTTTTTTTTTTTTTTTATCAAACCAAGGGACAAATTATAGGCAAATTATTCACAATCCCCGGAGCCCGGAGGGCACCCATGAGAAATCGCCACTGTTTTCGTGCGGAGTATCCCGTACTGTCGCTTTTAAAGCGTTTTCCTTGCAAGCTGGTAATCCGCGAATTCGAATATTATTCTGACACGATTTCCGTTTTCTAACCGCCGCGACGGCAGCGCGGGGCCATAATCAATCGTTTGAAAAAAAAAGAAAAAAGAAGCAAACGAAATTGTTGAACAGAACGAACGAGTTATTTCGAGTGGCAGATCGTCGGGGCACACCCTTGTACACATATATATGCGCCTGTTCTAAAATAAAATAATTTAAAACACGAGCAATTTTCGATAAACCTCCGTGACGTTTAATCGCCACGAAGCGTTGTACGGGCGTCGGCCGTGGATTCTCTTGAACGCTCTCCGACGCGCGTCGGGTCGGACATTGTCGGACGTGACGCGTTAACCTGTAAACCGGTCGCGGGCTCGTCATCGATGTGCGGCCGGGCGTGTCGAGGGTTGGCGGGTGGGGGGCGGTTGGGCGGTGACGGTGGCGGTGGCGTCGGCCGTCGACGATCGCCGTACGCCTTATCCCGGCAGTCGCAATACGGTGGTGGTGGGGTTGGGGGGGTGGGTACGCGGCCACTCGAAACCGCGGTTTCAATCCCCGCGGATCGGTCGCGCCGCCGTGGCCAAATCCACCAGATTACGCGCCGGCCTGCCGGCCTACCGCCGCCACGCACGGTGGCGTTTAGACCGGGACTCGACGACGGCTCGCACTCAAACCGCGGTGCGGATAACTGCGGGCTCTCGACGTCTGCTCGTGCACCGTCCGACGAATCCTGCCGAAGTATTTCTTCGCCCCACTCGGTTTCAACCGCTCCCCCGTCGACGCCCTCGCGGGTGATAACGTTACCGCAATCCCGAATCCGCCACCGAATTCCGGAGTGCGAGTTTTGCCAACGTCCGCGTTCGGTGTTCGTCCGACAATCGCCGAGACACCACAGCGTCCACGTCGGAATCCCGTTAACAGGGCAATAAAAATGTCCAGGCGCTTATCTAAAATCGAATCTATTATTATCTATTTTTGGGAAACCGTCGGTTCCGAGGATCGGTTAGCGCGACGTACGTTGTACCGTTGTTCCGTGAACCGAGACGACTGAATACACGGCAATTGCGGGCGGCGGGTCGCGCGATTTTGACGCGTAACGCGAAAAACCGTTACCGCGGCGTACGCTTTTTCGAGAAGTCTATTTTCGGACGCGCGTATCTCGAGGTACACCTAAAAGTTAAAATATCTCGTTAACCTATTTTCGGGAACCGTCGTTTCCGCGCGATTACGCTATCGTAATAATAATAACAACCCGCGTTGTTCCCAGAACCGAAACGGCAAACCGCGAAATATCAAATTTCGCAATAACACCGCGGAGACTTCCCCCCCCCGCCCCGCCCCGCCACGCAGGAGTCTATTTTGGTCCGGGCGACAACACGTTGTTCTCGTTAAATATTACGCGAACGCGCGACGACACAGCAACGGTTAGGGCCCGGACGTTTGTTGGCACGGAAAACGCGTAGAGGTCGGTCGCGTTATCCCGGCGAAAAACGTCCGCGGTCGCGCGTAAAAATCTGCGTTGTTTCCGCGGAAAATCGAATCTGAACACTCGAATCTCACTCGAACACCGAACGGTCCCCGCGAAAATGCCTGAAAATCGCGATCAATCGTTTCGTTTGCCAAACGGATACGGAAAATGAATTGCCCGTTTCGGGGACATAATGACTCGCGCGGCGTCTCGTATCGAACAATATTTCCACCGCGCTACCGTCCGCGGCCGACAAAGCTCGAAACAGCCGTCAAATTATCGATTGTGTTATACTCTGGCATATTAACAATGTCGTCTGTGCACGCCTCCCCCGACCCCCTATCCTTATTTTATTTCCGACGTGAGTAAAACTAAACGGAGCGAATATTATTTGAAGGTATCGACAGTCGTGTACCATAACCGAAGGAAAATCAACAACGTTGCAATCGAATCGAAAAATAAAAATCGAATGACGAAAGTCGCCGAAAAGTTGCGCGAAAAATGTTTAGATTTCGATACTCGTACTAGCGTGAAAACCAACTGAAAACTTACTCGGCGACACGTCCGAACCGTGCTCGGATTGTTAAAATAAAAGGAGAGGGATCAAGACGCACACGCACAGAAAAAAAAAAAAAAATTAGCGTCCCTTGCAATCGTCGTACTCGGCCCAACCCGTGTGGGACTTGGCCCGCCACACCACCTCCCACAACAGTTTTCATACATAATTCCCGAAAACAATCACTACCTACCGCGGGCTAAATTTTGCTTACGATGTGTTTGTTCGTTTTCTGCGCGTGAACCACTTTTCTACCGGAATTCTCGTTCAAATCGTCGAGTTTAGCGGCGACGGTTCCTAGTAAAAATCGTCGTCTCGTCGGTGCAATGAGGAGGCTATTTTTTTAACTGTCTTTATTGTAATACTAAATATGAGAAGACGGCCCCTAGTAAAAACGTCGGAAATACTTGTAACCGTTACATCTACTGCTTCTGTCTCTTGTTCTATTTCGTTTATTCGATGAAAAACAACCGTAGAGGTCGGAAATTCCCCGGAATACTTTTGCAGGTATGCTCTTATCGTATCTTATGCACAGCTCTTTCCGGACACGGTACCGTAGGTATCCTCCCATGCGTTCCACTTCAAACAAACGGTGAAGGTACGCTTACATTCCCGAGAATTCAGCCGAGTTACTCCGTCCCTGTGCGCCTCCCCTCACCCCCTCGATTCGAGCACCGCATCCGAACAACAGAAAAACAGTTGCGAACGCAACGAATTCCGAGCCCCGATAATCCACGCGCTATGTACGGGGATTTCTCGGAGAGTTAATCGACCTTAACCCGTCGGTAAACGCTGCCCCGAAAAAAAAAATTAAAAAAAAAATATTTACATATCCGGTCACACTATTGATATTCTCCCTCCATAAATAACCGGAAATCGACCGCGGCGGGGCGTTTCAAAAATATTTGAACTTAATAGACTTGTATGTAAAAAAAAAAAAAAAAAATAATAATAAACCCGTAACATTACGTTGACTTCTGTTTGTTGATATCGTACCACGTGTACACGACGCTATATAATGACGAACCTCGCGTCAAACCTTACCCGTCCGTCGTCGAACACAAAAACCGCCTTTTTTTCCCCCTCTTTTCGGTGCGAGTTAAAATTTGCGTTTTTTTCGATTTTTGATTATGTCGCACATAATATAATATACACGCCTAGGTACATAGGTGTTAATTAAAATTGTCAACAATCGTGGAGACTGAATGTTCTCACCGCTTTCTTAACTCTATAATTATTTCACGTTCGCTTCTTATGGACGCATTCTGGTCACGAACACATTTGCACATTTTCGGGAACGCCGAGCAAAAAATACATTTATTTTTAAACGCGTTTATGCATTTCTTTTCGTAAACTATCGGGTTATTTATTATTTAGCGCGCTTTAGATGGGAGCGTTGTCTTAAAAAACACCGATGCAGTTGCAGAGGACCCAGAAGTGAACCGGAGAGAATCGGCGGAAGACATAGCGATCCAGAAGAGCATTTGTCCGACGGAATGGTCTTGAAAGGCCGAAACCCGAAGAAAGAAACTAGAACTACGTTTTTCGACGAGTTTGTTTTGTTATCTTTTCGGTACGGTACTTTGTAAAAATGTACGCGTACGTCAATGTATACTGGCGATATTATCGCAGTTTGTATTCTATTTTCGCTATTGCGGATTTTACCAGTTTAAAAAACATGTCCCTCAGTTTGGCCCAAATATCGTAGCACTCCACTTGGTCCATCCCTCGTTTGCCGAATACGTCTAACGCGATACGCCTGTATATATTGAAATTCTGAGGCAACGCCGGTGCGCCGTACTGCGTATACAAGTTCAAAGCTTCAAAAGCATTTCCTTCCTGAAACCGAAATACGCATTATTATTAATATTTCGCTACATGTATACGCGCACATAGTTTTGCAAAATGCACAGGCAACTATATTATTTATTTCAATTAAAAACCATTGTGCCGACGTTCTTATTTAGATGTATCCGCGATATTATTGAGTGAAACGGGAAACGGCCATATACATTATACATTATTGCACAAGCCAACTTTAGTGTTTCAAAATTAGGTACGTAGGTATTCGTCTTCCGTGCGTTTTATTCGGGTGCATTATTATAGTGTACGCACACTATAGGGCGGGCCGAGATTTTTCTTCTTTCATTTCCTTTAACTTTTTAACGACATTATATTCGACCGGGTAAAAAGAGATTTTCCCACGAATTTCCAGGTATTTTAAAAACGGTGTGTTTTAGTAGTCGCGAGCCATCAGACATACCGAAAATCGACTACAATTATTTTTGCACCGTTCAGATACCCGTCTCTTAAAAACGATTAGCGCCAAAAAACCAAGTAAAGTAAATAAATATAGTAGACAAAAAAAAATTATGAAAAAAAATTAAATTAATAAACGAATCAATACGTCGCCTGGAGTGTCTATCATACGACCGGTTTCGAATTGAAAATTCACCGTCAGATATATCACAATCAAAATGTAAAACGCGACTCAGCATTAATTACTTCTCTTCAATTCAATATTTTTCAAAAATAATTAGTATGCTTTTGCGCTATGTTAATTTTATTGTTTTTTTTTTTTTTTGGAACTTAAAATTTTACTATAATTTTTTTCGAAAATTCAAAACAGCCATATTTTAAATTAGATTTTTAGAAAAAAAATAAGCGGTTTAAACTTTCGTTTTGTTTGCTCTTTTTTTTTTTCTAAAATTTTTTGCAAATTTGAATGTTATAATACCAAAAATAATAGGTTTATTCGCATTGCAAAACCCTAAACAAATTGTAGAAAATAAAAGAGCATACAACATCCATACAGTCTAAACAAAAGTTTCAATCACTAAATTTTTCTAAAAATCTAATTTACAAAACGGTTATTTTGAATTTTTTTTTTTTTAATCGGTGTAGAAAAGCTTACACATATGTTAACTGTAACGCAGATGCATACTAATTATTAGAAACAAATATACAGATAAGACAAACATTAAACATAATATTGAACAGGACGAAAATTATTTCAAGTGTCAGATCATCGAGGGCCCTGTACATGTTGGGTCTGTATTGGGTATTGAGGATTCGTTTTATTCATCAAACTCGTTCACCGCAACCGGAATTATTGTGTTTTATACAATGTATACGTGTTTTTTTTTATATCGGATGAAATAAATAAAATATGATAATCCCGTCCGATTTCTCGGCGTTTTACCGCGAACGCAATTGATATTATCAATTCAATTGCGTATCTGATGGCGTATTTATTGCGGTAGGTATACACTAAATTTGGATTTTATTTTTCCGTTAAACCGTTTCGAATTTTCGCGCGCGCGCGCACGCTGCACCAGAGATGAGAACTGCGTTTTGATTAAAAAACGCCGCTGTAAATCCTTTGCAAGAGCCGGCGGCGACCGTTATTACCCGTAGCAAATCGGTAGCATAGAGCGCGACGTATTTGTGGAGAACGACTTGTCCGTGCGGTCGGGCGACGTCCAAACATTTCGACCACTTTCCCTGGGCCGATAACATGTCCAGCGCTTCTTCCACGTCCATGTCGGCCAACAGTTGCTCCGGTTTCCCCTCTCTTTTCACATGGTCTTTGTAACATTCCGAAACGTATCTCTCGAAACTGCGGATTAAACGATTTCCATTGGTTCGGTGTAACAATATAATAGATGTGTACGGAATGTACACGCGTATACAAATTGATTCGATGCGCGATTGTTTTGGCGCCGACGGTTTTATTACATAGTTTTTATTGACGAAAAAATAAAAAATTCCAAAAACAGTCGAAGAACTTAAGTTTCGGTTTTTGTTTAGATGATAACATTATGTTTCGGCGCGTCGAAATCGTAAATTTTATTTATCGCTCTACATTTTGTCCCGAAATATCTAAAAATAATTATTGTTACGTGTATCAAAAATAGTTTCGAGTTTATATTAGGTGTTTAATATTGCGAGTTTTTTTTTTTTTTTCCAAACATAAACACTTAAGGATTTCGATAAACTGTTTGTATCGATAAAAATAACAGTAAAAACTTACGAGGGGTCTAGTTCGGAAGATAATTTTCTGGCTTTGGACCAATAGTCGCCCGCGATGAATGCGTCTATTGCTTCTTTCATCATATCCGCGCACACAAATACTTTGGCCGCCAACAAGTATTCTTCGTATTCCATTAAACGCGGCCCTTAGAAAAAAAAAAATACAAAATCATCTATTTGTTCTTACGATTCTCTTATAAGAAATAAACAAATTGAACAAGGGAATTCGTATTTAGTTGTGCGATGCGAATATATCTGAACTACAATTTTATGTTTCGGTAAAAAAAAACTGAACAAAATTGTTTTTTTTTTTTTTTCATTATTTTCGAAAAGTTTAAAGATAGCCATTTTCTAGCAGAGTTTATTCTTCATTAAATTTTGTGATTTTTAATAAATTTTTAAAATTCAGTGAAAAGTACCCATTATTATTATGCATTAGGCTGTGATCGCATTCGCTAACTTATTATTATTATTACGGCTAATTCACTGTACAATTTTTTCCTCCGAAGTTATTAAAAATTATTAGAGTCGTGAATTTAATGAAAATTAAAAGTTGATATATACAAATTTCTATTAACTCTATGAGATAACCGTCTTCAAATTTTTCAAAAGTAATAAAATAAAAAGTTATTTTCCTAAGTTTTTTTACCAAAGCATAAAAAATTAATTTAAATAAAAATATTTATAGTCATTATCCCTGTGAGTATTATATATATAAAAAAAAAAACAATTTGTGTATTTTTTTTTATCTCCGGAGATATTAAAATGGGTATATCTTCGCGGGACACTCTTTATATACAATGTGTCTCATCGTGTTCGACGGATTTTTGTGGAGGTATTAATATTACATTTTTTCCGTTTTTTTTTTTTTCAATCGGTTTGTCTTCGAGGGGGGCATCGATTTGGAGAAAAATTAAATTTTTATTTTCATCCCCTAAAGACAAAAATAACTTTATTAAAAATAATTTCAATGTAACGCACATTTATATTCGATAAATAATTTCATAGCAATACCCGTGAAAACAATAGAAATTCAAGAATTACCGTGCTGTTTGTGATTCCCTACTGCATAACGTTTTATTTTATTGTTTTCACGACTATTTTCTAGATATTAAAACGGCTTATATTAGGAAACTATTAATCGGATGTGAAAGTATGATACGTTAAAATTTTGAGAATAATATTTTCTACAAAATGACTATTTTGAAAATGTTCTAAGTAAACAAATAAAAAATTTCTTTTGTGTGTTTAGGGGATGGAAATAAAAATTGTATTTTTTATTTTTTTTAAATCGATGCCCTCCCTCGAAGACAAACTGATTGAAAAACATTAATCGGAAAAAATGATTATTGATAGCGCTAGAAAAATCCGTCAAACACGGTGGGACACACTGAATATTAGGGCGATCCTTTTTTTTCAGACGAAGAACAAGGACTCGGATGGATTTGATTGACCGTGCTGTCAGTTTATTCGTTAATATGAGAGAGTAATTTCGATAAAATTTGGTGGCAATGAAGGGTTAAAAATAATAAAAGAAATTAATTTGACGTTTTTTATTTCTTTAAAAAAAAAATTTAATTAAAAAAACTGTAGCATTTACACACAAATGTGCCAGACTTTAAATATGAGACATAAAAATTACTATCTATAAAAATCGCAAAACTATGTTTCTTATAAATTTATAATTATCTAGAAAAATCGATAAAACGTTTAAAAAAGTAGTTTTGAATTTAATTTTACAATGTTTTGTTTTTTTTTTTTTTTTTTATTACAGTAGTTTTATATAATATAATATTATACGTGATACGTTTAACTAATATTTAAATTTGTAACCACATTAGGATTTAGGAACCTGCCTTCGAATCAATAAAACATTATTATAGGTATAAAATATAGTGCAGTCCGTACGGAATAACGAAATCGATTTATAATGTATAATACGTTTGTAAAATGTATCGAAATACATGGTATTTTTTTTCAATCCCCCTCCCACACACCCTACCGTTTGTTATCCGGGCGTCCGTATTCGTTGTACAAATTATTTTACGATGTAGCATTTTTCGTTCGGTTTCGGTTGTGATGATGGCTAAACTAATTGCGTTTATAATAATAATACTCGAATCCATTAAAAAAAAATTAAAAAAAATACTGCAGCGGCGTTTATCGATTTCGCACGGCGCGCGGCGGCGCCGGCGGTAAGCGTTTCGAAAATATATTTAATTTGATTAGGCGCGATATATTCCTTCGAGAAAACGGTTTTACAACGCGTGTACCTATTATTATACGTATAACACAATGAACGTTTTACGCGTGTTAAACAACGGTTCATCGCTGTTTATAAGCACGTAAAACCTGTTATTTGCAAAACGTTATGTTTGTTGTTTTTTTTTTTTTTTTTTGAAATCAACCGTTACAACGTTGTGTCGCGAATTAGATTTTAGACGAAACACAAAGCGAACGCGCGGCGTTCATTACGCGTGATTACGGTCGTAACAACCGGCGTTGAGACACGCGGATAATTAGAATTTATCCAGCTAAAAAGATTAAAGGCGATCGTTGCTCCGGAAACCGTTTGGACGCGGATAAAGACAATACGGCGTTTTTGAATTATCCCGTCCAAGTCGGCGGATCAGTAGAATTTATCGCCTCGTAGGCAATTGCTTTTGTCGATAAAACCGTATAATTAACGAATATTTACACATATATTGAAAAATGATTGATACAATACAATGGAGAGTATCAATTATTAGCAAGTTATTTATTAATAATTCGTACCGGAGTATTATATTATGCGTGTACAACACCTCGGTATTGTACACGTTATGGCACAAAACTGTTCTACATAGCCCGGTTATACATAGACAAAAATAAAACTCGGTTGTTATTAAAATTATTATTATCCGAAAATATATTGGAGTTTTAGACTGTATATTAGCCTTTCTTTTAATTCAGTTCTATTTTCAATCCGAATGATTGTTGTTTTTCTTTAAGATCTTTTTATAGCGTGTATAAAATAACAGGATTAGTCAAAACTGAGAAACGTCTGCAGCGAGTTGCTTACAAAGTGATAGCGATTTTTGTAAATCATTTTTTTTGTTCGTTTTAGGTGTATTTTTATATTTTATCTACACAATTACTAAAAACCATAACTGTCGTTTATTTTAGATAACCATTAGATAAATATCGAAATTTGCATCTTGATGAGATAAAAGATTTTAAAAAAAATCATCTATATGAATTACCTACAGTCTCTCAACACCGGTAATAACTTTGAACGTATGAACGCCGCCGCGGACGATACGTTCACTTTCGTACGGATATTTCTTTCTGAAATGTGTAGTTTGACGGTTTTCGAAATAAGTTAATTTTAATTTAAATTTGATTAAAAAATTGTAGCATGCACAGAAAAAAATGTACAGGACCTTAAATATACAATATACATTATTAACTACAAATAAAAAAAGAGCTGATACTGCTGATGAGTGCGCCACTGCAATATATGTGTATATAAATTTACGATTTTTATTAAAAATTAATCTTACAACTATTATAAAAAAAATATAACTACAATGCACTTTACTACTTTAAAGTATTTTAGATTCTGAGTTAAGCGAAGAATGTATTGGTTTTACAAAGATTGTTTGTTTGTTTTTATTTTATGTGAAAACCAGAAAGATTACTCCGATTATTAAGTACAACACCTTTTCTGAAAGTAAATGTTCTTTAGGTGATACTTTAGAAATGTTATTTTTTTTTTTTGAAATTCTCATTAATATTCGAGATAATGAGGAAAACTTGGTTCTTTAGGTTGAAAAAGATTAAAAGATTAAAAATAAGGTTGCCACCAGCAACCGTTTTTATTTATGTTTGTTATTTTTAAGTTTTTATTAGTTAAAAATATTTTTTAAACAATCATTGTTGTCATGAAAACGCTTATTGTGGTAATCATTTTACCATAATGTGACACAATATTATATTGTTGACAAAGCAACACTATTAAATCTGATATCTGAACTCAGCTCAGAATCGTTTTTTCGTTAGCAATGGTTTATTGTTGCTTACAGATATACATTAAATTTCCGTCTGTATCTTCCTTTCCTAACTTCTCACTTGCAACAATGGCTGCATTCACGTGCGAAGTACGTCCGTCCTTTTTTTAAATTTAATTTTAAGTTTTTTAAAAATTTACGAGAAACTTTGTCAAGGCACTTTTTGTGTAGATAGTTATATGTTCTATATCCAAGATCCGGTACGTTTTTATGTAAATGCTGCAGCTTTCGAATTAAATTTAATAAAACGGTCAAACTACTCTCTTTCGGCCATTTTCAACTCTGCGTATTGCAATGCGTGAAAGGATTCTGCTGTCATAATCAAATTTAACCGAAATTACTTTCTGTTATTGACAATTAAAATGTTATTGTTTACATTAGATCGACGAAGAAAATTGGGAAGTACTCGATCAAAATTATCCAACTAATTTTTTTTCGTCTTTAAAAATATCAGACTGTCTTAATACTCATAGTATAGATACTCGTAGGTAAATATTTTAACCGAATTATATAAAAAAAAAAAAAAAAAAAATGATAATCTGTCATTTCGCTGGACAGTATAATCTAATATTACGAGATTTACGTTATTAAATCTTTAATTTATTTCCATTAATATAATAATAATAGTACGTGTTACGTAAAGGTATTGAAAAGCTTTATTTCAAGCTTATAATAATAATATATAAGAAATCTGCAAGAAATAAAGTGTACCGCGTGTAATAAATTATTGCGTGTCAAAATCAATACAGAACATATTCATCATCGCTCTTCTTCTTTATGTACATAATTTAATTTATAGTATACATATATATTGGAAAAAAGGATAATAGGATTAATGATGATAACACTCAATTTATGTTCCGAAGCGCGCGAATACACGGAGTTGCGATAAAATTTTATTATAAAAAAAAAAAAAAAAAAAAAAAATTGATCGTAGACGGGAAACAAGAAATCCGCCAAAAATTAAAACGTATATGTATATACGTAGTGTATTATATAACTTTGCGCTGTATATTTCATTCGTCGTCGAAATCGTCAAATGCATTTTACGAATTATTACAATCCAGGTGATCTATTAAAGCGGGCACACTCTCGGAAAGTATTGACTTTTTCCGGAATTTATTTTCTAGAACATTTAATAAACAAGCTGCTCAAGAACTTAACGTTATTTTTTTTCACACTATTATTCGGGGGTAAAGTGTTACCCAAACTTAAAAGCGGGATATCTCGTCAACGGGTTGATCTATTTATGGAATTTTTAATACAGAATGCCATTTGAAAATCAAAATTAGGTAGTGGTTTTACCCCCCAAAAAGAAAAGCGACAAATAACGTAAATATAAAATTGCAGAGCTGTTTGTTTCTTAAATGTTCCAGAAAACGAATCCCGAAAAAAGTTAATACTTTCCGAGATAATGAGTGTACCCACATAAATGGTTCACCCGGTATACAATAGGTACCTATCTACATTATGCGCCTATATTTTGTATATGTAAGACAGGGCGCGTTTCCGTGATCGATAATTTTTTTATATTACGTACAGCTATATACAGGAAACGATAACAAGAAAAAAAAAAAATAAACGGGCAATACAACCTTTTCAGACTCACCCAATTTTTTAGCCGCGTCTGCACACTCTTCGCCGTCCAAGTATTTTAATGTCATTCGCGTCGCTTCGTTGAGCGTTTTTGATATAATACGGTCGTCCTTACAGTTGGTCGAAGTGACCTTTTCACACATACATAACATTATTATTATTATTATTATTATTATTACGAGAATTACATTATAAATAATATTGAATTTACGTAATATCGTCTCTATAATAGACGAAATCCAAAGGGATACTATAATATCATGTAGATTGGAAAAATTCTCAATTTTGTATTTTGTATTTTTTTGCGCAGCTTTTGTCGAACTCTTTATAACGGGTATAATGGTACGGTATTATTTGTCCGTAAAAATATGTCTACGAGACCTCAATGTATTTTTCAATATTATGATTATTTCCGGTTTTTTTTTTTTTTTTTTTACAATATTATTGAGCTATTCGTTTTTATTCTAATATCTAACTCAAAGTTAAAAACGTAATTTTTCCAAACTAAATAATTGACTATATCGTTGTATACGTATTATAGACTCGTTGTTTGCGTTTGACAGAAACAACAACAAAAAAAAAAAAAAACGAATAAAATATTATGTGGACGCGATACGAAAACTCATAAAGCGAATTTGCGAGGGGAGGACAAACATTACATACGCTAATATTATATAATATAGAAAAGCAATAATACATTTTTCTATCAAAACTTTCGAATGTTTTGACATTTTATAATACTGTGTACCTAATGTATTTGTATAAAAATATGAAACATAAATAAATAAAGGAGAAACTTAGCCCGGGGTATTGTGATAAGTTGTACTGCGTGTATTTACGATCGGTTTCGATATGAAAAATCACCGTCAGGTAATAATCATAGAAACAATACATAGGCGGACAAATAAAATATAATAATAATTTTTTCGTTAAATACGAAATGAAAACGAGGAATACATAGAAAACATTTTTTTTTTTTTTTTCATATAGTTATTAAACTCGTTTTAACAGGCGTGATTGTAAAACATCGACGGGATGACACCGATTTAAGACGTTTTATAGTATAACAATTTAATACATAACATCGACGAAAAATTGTATTTTTATAATCTTTATAAAAAATTGGATTATACATTCATACGTTACCCATACGTCATATTGTGTCTTTTATTATTATAATGTACCTATATTTTATTTTATTTTTATATTTTTGAACTCTAAAACAAATTTCATTTTTTTTTTTTTTTAAATATAATATTTTAATTGAATTCACCTTTAGCAAGCAGTCCACAGCAGTTTTGAACTCGCCGTTCTGTTCCCATTGGCTCGCCTGCACGAACAGGCTGTTTATGTCTCTGGTTACTCGAGCTCCGCATTCCCTGTCGTATTCCGCTTGCAACTCGTCTAACTTGGCGGGTAAGTATTCTCGGCACGACTTTAGCGCTTCCACCCACATCCCCTTTTCCTGGAATAACATTATCGTTTCTTTTAAATGTCGTTTCACTCGCAACAACAAAGGCACGTACCTATAATACGTATAACATTGTATAGGTGACTTTTGAAAATTACGTAAACGACAAACTTTTTAAACGCGTTTTACAAAACACAGGTAAAGAAAAAGAACCCCAGCTTTTTTTTTAACGATATCTTCATAAACGACGGGCGAAAAAAAAATGTTTTGTTATCCGTGTGTTATATATTTTATGTTATTCCGTGTAAAATATAATACGAGAAAAATTGACATTGCACTATGTAACTATACCGCGAATTTTAGTTGATAAATTCAACCTCAAACTTTCTCTGGTTCAGGTAATCGAAATCGACAGTAATATTCTTAATATATATAGTAAACAAAAATATAAATCAAAAAATTAAAATAAAATAAATAATTTCTGTATTCTATGTAAACCGACCAATTTTTATAATTTTTTATTTTTTTTATGTGTTTCTTTATTTAATTTTTTATATTCAGTCGCGTTTTACATTTTGACTGTTATATACCTGATGATGAATTTTTAATTCAAATCCGGTAGTATAATACGCTTGCCATAATATTTCAGGCTACGTATTTATTCATTTATTTATTTAATTTGTGTATGGACATTTTTTTATTTATATATTTATTTACTTTATTTATTTACGAGTATTAACCATTTTAATAATTTTGGTTTACTTTATTATTTCATTCTTAATATATGTTTGAAATACTTAAATATTATTAAATCGTGTTGTAAGAGAAGGTAATTTAACAAATCACCTATTCTGTACGTGTTTTAGTTTTAGTTTTTACTATTACAATAACTACGTCTAACATTAAAATCGCCGATCGACTACAATTGTTACTAACCTACAGTTAATATTCCCTCGATAATTCAACGTCGATCAAACAAATACAATTTTAAGTTTTGTTATTCGAGTGCAGTTGAATTCTACTTCAATGGGTACCACCTAGTGCGCAAACTACCTATATTTTATTGAATATATTTTTAATATTTTTCACGCATTATACGATTTTTTTCAGACCCCTTAAAATTGCATACAGTTTACGCCAAATTAAACTGCTTTTTTTTTGTACTCGCCTGAAATATACCTGTATTATTATACGTAAATAACTATTTGATTTTTACATATTGTACACTTATACGGGTGTAATACGTTTGAGTAATTTATACAATTTCCCCTTGTTTTACAATATTTTAAACGTTTCGATCGTATTTGTGGTATTTAAAAACTGTACACCTACATAATATGTATAGAAGAAAAAAAAAAATCACGTTTAAATCGTTTATCGGCGAATACGGCGTGAGTATCCACTTAATATACATTGCGTTATTACGTTACTACCACGGGTTCAATCAAAATCTATTAGGTATAACACTTATCATTTTTACAGCCGACCGTCAGAGTAAATAATATCAATGCGCAGGATAATTGTAAATACGAGTATTATACAGTTATTTATGGTAAGCCCTGCTACCTATTTGTTGCGCCGTTAAATTAATATAATATTCTGTTTATACCTATGTTATTGCAGTACGTATAACATTGGGAATATCTGTGTAAATGCCACGCCTGTTCTGTACGACTCGTACATTTTCATTTTACTTAAATGTACGTATACGTTTGCGTTTATGTATTGAATGATTCGCTAAGCGTGCTTGCCCCATTTTTTTTTGATTAAATTTTGCGTAATTTATTCGAATTCTAATTTTTGAAATTTTCAAGTGTAGTTAAAGCCAATATCTTCGAATAATTAGATTTTTTACAACATTTAAGGAATATCCTGTGGCGATACCAACTTTGGTTTTTCAAAAAGGAACCTATGTTAAAAATTTCCATAAACAAATATTACTTAAAATACATTTTGGTGTCAATGTTTTTAATTTCCGCTAACCCGTTGACGTGATATTTCATTTTTAAGTTTAGATGGGGGGAGAGCAATGGCGTATTATTTTTGTGGCGGCATATTACTGTACCAACCAAAGTTGGTATCGTCACACGATATTCCTTAAATTTTGTGAAAAATCTAAGCATTCGAAAATATCGGTTTAACTATACTTAAAAATTCTAAAAATCAGAATTTAAATACATGCAAAATTTGACCAAAAGAATGGTGATAAACACGCCTAGTGAATCACCCTATATTATATACATATACAAGTTACGAAAAAAAAATTTCGATTATGCATTTGGCGGGTGATTAAGCATAGGATTTTTGTTTCAGGGAGAAAAAAATGCATTATAATAATATTGTTGGTAATATTTTGCGCGTTGTTTTCTAATATTTTCACGATTAAACTGATCATATAGTTGTTCTTATAGATAAATAAACGCACGTATTGTTATTATTTTCTATTTGAGAATTAACAAAAATTAAAATATTATATCTTTAATGTAAGGAACAGTCAATACTACAATTATAATAATATATTCAGTTACGAAAAAATACACAATAAGTTAGGTGTGATTTGTAATTTTAAAATATTCCGCGATAATACGTGAAAATCGGGCAAATAAAACTAAAAATGTTATAATACATAGGCACACGAATGTATAATATGTATTATCCTAATTTACATATTTAACGACCAAAAAAAAAAAAAAACCCCTGTAAACATTACGACTAATCTAAAGTACCTATACGCATTTTTAGCATAATATGTACTAAGCGTATATCGGCGTTGTCTGTGTAAATAAAGACATATTTTGTTTATTGCTACCTAACTAATCGTATCAGTGCATACGAAATCAATAATATATATTTCTAAAATCAAAAAATGGCCAGCTCTGCTCTAAACTGAGATGAAACCTCAATATGCCTATTAACGAATCGATACATGTCAAAAAGAAATTATTTTCCGAATGGAAAACAGAAAAAAAATCGGCACGTGTTTTACGGGAAAAACACGTTTGGTTTAAGCTTTATTTTATCTCTTCTCCTTACACCTTAATTGATTGACGTTCAAATAGAAACCTCTTATCCTTTTAAACATCGATTCGAATAGAGAATACTTTCTTTGAATTTAGATGAGCTCAAGGCTGGGCAAGTTAATGATTTTTTTTTCAATTCAGTTAAGTTAAATTTAAATTTAAATAAAATCAATAATTAAAAGTTAATTCAAAATAATCTATCAATTTAATTAAGTTAGAAGTTAACCAAAAGTCAAAATTAAAAAAAAAAATGTACATATTTTCTATTACCTACTATAACGGCCTAATAATCAACTTTTTCTTACTTCTCTGGTTTAATTTTAAAACTGTTATAACGTACAACTCGTAAATCGTATGCAAGTGTTATGTTTATCAACATTTTTATACATATATTCAGTATTCGAATCTGTGTTTAAAAGGGGAGGGGAGGTTATTATTGAAAAACTCAAAAATCTAAAGCTTACAATTCGGATCTTTAAAAAGTGCACGGATTAGGGGTAAAATATTGAAAATACATAAAATAAAAAATAACGGTAGAGAAGAAATTCAAATCCACTTAAAATCCTCCGAGAAAATCACTGGATCGTGACTTGAACAAGTTGCATAGTATTAAAAATAATATTAGATTATACACGAACAATATTTAAACAAAGTTCAGACTAATGTAAGGACAATACTTATTAAAGTATAGTGATGTTTGGACTATAGTATATGCAATAGGTCATTCTAGCACCTTATGCACTATACGCCCACTTCATCAGCGTCATACTGTAAACATTTAACTTAACGTTTTTCGCATAATTATTGTAGAAACGAAACGCAGGGATCGCAGTGTTAGGTTGTCAGTTTACATTATTTCTGCTTTCCAATACTTTGCGTGGTATCCGAACTCGTCATCTAAAGTTGCATTATGAAGGCGGACAAATATAGTTTTCAAGAGAGTCGTCAACATTTTCCAAGTACCTAAGTAAATCATGATTGCCACGGTAGACTGATTATTATAATTATTTACAGAATATCACCAAAATATTATTGAACTCATTAAACTCGTTTTCGTTGTTTTCCACAGGGAAAGACACCGAATCAAATATGGATTGATAAAAGCAAGAACGAACTAAGACATCTAGGAATAGACAATGCTAATGAAGTAGCTTTGGACAGAGATAGATGGAAGGAAGTTTGTTTTACAGTTATATGGCTTAATGGTCTCGAATTCTGATAGAAGAAGAAAAATTACGGTTAATTGATGATGTGCTGCATGAGTGTAGGATTATTTTTTACCGTCCTATGCAATGATCTTAATTAATCATAAAAATTATTAGTATCGCGAATCAATAACCTTTTATATGACACACTGTTATGCTTATAATATTATTCCCCAAATAACGGGTCCACATCATAAAGTTCAAACATTTAGACGGAGCACCGAATGTTAATGTTATTGACATGATTACGACGACCACTTTACTCGTCACTCGGATATATATTTTAATTTAAGGCGTAAAAACTTCTCGACGCTTACGTTCACATGTCTATAAAAGATAAGCTCTTTGAAATATTTTCACTGTATCGTCATTATACGTAATATATATGCCGTCTCCCGTTGTCATTCGTGTATTGGCCGTTTTTGTACTTCCGAGTCGCATACTATATGTGTAGAGTTACCGGTACGCACACGTGAATACATATACCAATAAATTAGTGAAATTTCGCAACAAAACACTGTCTACTACATTTGATTAGTTTATTGTGTCATTTTTCAAGTGTCTGCACGTAACTATTGTGGGTACCGAATCGTTCCTGGGACATACCCCCCGGATTTAGCGGTTTGGATATTATACAGATAAGTGCAATATTGTACCGATCCCCAAGTTGTACACCGCGTTTAAGATATTCTACTATTTGCCTTTGAATAGCGCATAAATTACATAAATACGAATCGGTACATTTGAAATAAATATATTATCGTGCACGATATGCGAATATAAAAAAAATTCTCCGATATCCGAAAATCAGTAATAATACTAAAATGAGCGCACGTAGGCTATCCCGAAGGCAATTTTCGAAATAAATCTTTAAAAATATTATAATAATTCCTTACACGAAACCTTAGTGGGACTACAGATAGAACAGCTCTTCCGCTGCCTACGCTCAGAATGTAAAACTCACCGAATCAATTTGTCGTTTTTTCGAGACTCGACGAAATGTTTAATATCATGTTAATATATCATCAAACGCGTACACGCACTCGCTGTCATGTTGTTATAAAATATATATTTATTCTTCTTTCGGATTAGTATCGGAACTGATTTTTTATACGAACCGAACACATATCACATTATTATTATAATATGCGCATTGTGCGTCGTTTAGTTGAGGAGGGTATTCATTAGGAGAAATGTATTCACCGTGCGGGTTATATACATTATTATTTACGAGCATGTATGCGAGAATGTGCAATACGATGACGATGATAGATATGACGTTTTAAATTTCAAACCCACCGGCTAAAACAGTATACATATAACGTGCACAGATAGGTACCTATTTATTTTTACATATCGAAAATTATTTCGAGCTGAAAGCCAATAATGCCAGAATCACGTTAGACGGGTAAAACGCGGAAATACATTGTGTACAGGATATAATGTGATACTCGTATTATCTGTCACCGGTTATCGATGAATTAACACGATTTATTCTATCAAACCAACAAAATCAAAATCAAAATACGCAGACCAGTATTCACGATACCGCGTCATCAGTCATTGTATTATAGATATCGGCGCGTATACAATAACAGCTCTTTATAATAATAATATTATAATACCGTATACCGATGTTCAATATTACGATATTCGCATTTGAATTGACCGAATTAATACGGGAACGGATTTTCGCCGGGGGATAAAAAGATAAAAGGCCCGAAAAAACGACAGCTCTTACCTCCCCCACCCTCCACGTTCTCCCAATTTGGAATTTTCACATTCCGTCAATCGTTCGTGCAGCGTCGTCATTATATAAGCGTAGCTGGTCGGGTAAAGCTGTTGGTTGTATTAGTGAGCTAGTGTTTTAGCTAGGGGTCACTAGGAGCACGCCTTCTCCAAATTTTTTTTTTTTTTCGTAATGCAGTGCAGTTTCCAGAAATTCGTTATATTAATAAATCGTATTATAAGTATAGAATATATTGTTTTATACTATTATGTGAACGAAATCGAGTTATTACCGGATTTATATTTATTTACCTTAATTGGGTACATATTTTATGTAAAAAAGATACTAGTCCATCAAATCGTTATGGAAATATCAACAGCTAAAGATAGTGTTTAGTTTAGAAAGGGGACAAGTCTGGGACATTTTTTCTGGCTACGGCACTGAGCGGAGCAATCGGAATTTTTTGAAAGGAGGTGTCACATGTCACATATCTAGATAAAAAAAAATAAAAAACACGGTCTTTTAGTATATTCATTAAACACGGATGCAGCAAAGACATCCAAAACACCCCGCTTCGTTACGTGCCACCGGATTATAGGTTAGGCGCACAAACAAGCAGAGGCCCGAGCAGAATATTGAAATACCGATTCGAGGGGGTTGGGGGCCGCAGAGACGGATCCCCAATAATCGACGAAACGGTAGCAAAACGACGGCGCGAAAGAAGTTATTAACGTTCGAGTTACTGTATAATTTTAAAATATGCGAATTTATTACAGCTGCGCGACGCCCGCGGGTCTAAATCGAAATTCGAAATACTATCATAATGTATGCAATGTGCGAAACTCTTGACATCTTTCTCACGGACTGGGCATGCGTTCGTTTCAATCCGCATATTTTATGTAATGTATAAAAAGTTATGTATTTTTTATTTTTTGTATTTTGTCAATTTTATCGAAAAAAAAAAATATAATTAAATATTTGACGAAATATTATATTTCAACAATAATATTATGCGAATCGCTCGGCAAGCCGACGTGATATATTTACGGTATTAATCTATTCTCAAAAGTCGAGAATATTATAATAGATAATTTCCATTTTTCTTTTTCCCAACATTTAATGTTAGTGGCTCAAAAAAAGTGCAAAAGGTTAAGCGATCACCTTTGCACATATTAGCCTTGAAAAAAAAATGTAAAACTACAGTGATCACTGATTAGAAATGTACGCGTCTTAACCACGGATCTAGTTTGTTTTAAGCAGTAGATAGTAAATAAATGCGTGCGTATATACGTATTAATGTATGTCACTATACTCGCCTAAAAGTCTCTATCGTTTGGCTAGCAAAGAGAACCAGAAATGCAGTGTTACCACACAGAACAAAAACTATTGTACCTGTGCATAATATTCCATTCCACTTCTCTTCGGTGGCTCGATTATAGAAAATAAAATAATAAGTGTCTCTTTACTCTCCTGCCAATCGGCCACCACTACGATATAGAATGAGAGAGACACGGTTCTGAACACTCTATTTATCTCTCTCGCTTATCTTGTATTATCTAGGCGACGTTCACTAATAGGTCTATGAAAAAAAAAAAAAAATTGACCGCTGTATTGTGAACAATATATATTCAAAATTGTATATTTTTTTACGATTAAAATCTAGCTTATGAAAAGAACGTCTTCGCTAAATAGGTACTATTGAAGTATCTACTATAGTGTTATAGGCGTAATGTAACATAATGTAAAATATATAGTATAAATAATAATTCTATTCAAATAGGTATTATATAAAAGTACAGCCATTGGTATTTATTACATTCTATTGTTATAATAATATAGACAAAAAAATTGTATTATTTGTTTTATGGGCCGGTCAAAACTATTGCCCCCCTTTCAAAAACTGATATGACGCCACTGATTTTAATACGTTGTTGTTGTTTTAATTTGCAATATTGTTTCATGTTTTAAAAAAAAATCACCCTGTATTATTTGGTGAATGTAGGCATAGTGACGTTTTATACTTTGATTTCGTACAAACTACGATTTGTATAACGTCGTCTTTTGTCCCGCCTGATTCGTATTGTTCTTGTCCAAAGTTCAAAACTTTAAAAACTAACCGAAAGTGTCATTGTACCTACCAAACTGTAACCGAACACGTTCTATACATTTATTTTGTTCATCTAACTGAGCCACGGTACGTGTGTATAATCTCATTCGTCTCTGTCGAAATTCGTATGGTTAATCGACGCCGACTTAGCGGACATTGTACTCACGTGTGCACAAGGTACGAACACTAAAGTCATACGTAAAAAGTAGTTTTGACTGCACGAAAAAATGTATCTAAATTTGAACTGTAAGGGGAAACTTATTGGTTTGTAGACAAATCGCAGGCTCACGTCATTTTTTTTTTGAAATCAGATGATATTGAATTAATACGAATATAATGAATTATGCTGTACAAAAAAAATAAATCTTTTTCCGAAAAACTAAAATTAGAAACAACCTATATCAGGGGTAGGCCTAATCCGGCCCACGGGGAAGAGAAAAATGCCCGCCTACATGTTTTTACTTTAACGCTGGTTTTTTATTTTCATTATTTGTCTATGTTTAGATCCAATATCCGAACATAATCTATATTTATGATGTATTTGGTATATTTGATATATTTAGTGTATTTAAAGTAATATATAATAAAAAAATTGTGTATAAAATAATCTTTTTTTCTATAAGATAGTTAAATAATATTGTATAGCAATGATTGCGTTTTAATACAAAAAATACAAGGCTGGGCCGTGGGCAAGTTAATGATTTTCTTCAACTCAAAATTGAGTTAAATTTAATTTAAATAAAGTTAATAATTAAAAGTTAATTCAAAATAATCTATCAATTAAACTAAGAAGTTAATGAAAAGTTAAAATTGGCTGTTCAACTCAATTTAAATTAATTAAAAAAATATGTTATAAATATATTATCTATTATCTATTATAATGACTTAATAATTTAACTACGTATCTAACGTATTTTAAAATTTTCATAATATATTGATAATAATAATAATAATAATATATTTATTTATATGCGTATACAAATAAAAATTGAAATCATCTTAACTTGTTTAAATATGAAATTAACCCTATATAATTAAAAGTAACTCGTTTGTATTCCTCAAGTTAACAATTAAGTTAATAGTTCAATAAAATAAAATAAATTAAGTTGAAAAGTCGAATTAACTTAACTTTTGCTCATTAACTCATTTATGCCCAGCTTTTAAAATATAAATAAATATATTAAATAATAAATTTACGTTTTTGTAATCACAATTGTGATTTATCCGAAATTACGTATTTCAATGACTTCTGTCTAACCTCTTGAGGAAAACGGAATTCAAATCCAAGGTCGTCCAGCGAAAATATTAAGTAGTATCACATACGTACTCGATACACTGTGTGTTTTTTAATTTTTATCGTTTTTTCGATTTATTTTTTGCAGGCGTTTGCAACGAAACAGATAATATTCGTCTTGATTTTTTTATTACAGTACCTGTACCTAATTTATGAGTTTTGCTATCAGCGTAAAAATAATATCATTTTCGCGTCTCGGAAGTGGCAGAAGTCTGTTATTTAGTCTTTTATTGTGAGTAAATCATCCGAATACTCGCAAGGCGCTTATTGAAACCATTCATAACGTCCAACGATAATAAATACATATTACTCATAATTATTATTTCAAATCAATTATATACGCGATAGTTATTTATTTTCGTATAATTGATTTTATTTGTGACGTATTTTAGGCATTTTAATAAATAACGAAAATAACTCACCGACTTGTGCAATCGATTCCGGATAGAGTCTAAATTATCATGATAATATTATCAATATATAATATTGTCGTTCGTTTAAATTGCCCGGCCGATTATAATTTGTTGAAATTTTGCGGAAAGTAAAAACCAAATAAATGAAATGTCAGTAATATTTGTTCAAAAATAAAACTTTTCAAGAACAATAAGTGAGCTATAGGTTAAAATTACAAACGCATTCTTCCGGGGGGGGCGGTCTGTTGTCGTGTCTATAGGTGAATACTACTGCCGATTATTTCATCCCGTCGCCCGGCAAACATAACATACCCATTGTCACGGGTGCCCGGAAGGGGGAGGGAGGCAAGACGGGGCATCTGCCACCCCCCGGTCTTTAAAATTTCAAACATAATTTTAATAATCAGGTAATCGATACAATTTTATTATTAAGTCCTTTTAAGTTATTACGCCCCTCCTTGATACATTTCCTGTGAGCGCCGATACCTGATAGTGTATTGTTATTTATAAACCATTTAACCAACCAGCGGTGCATAATATATACTGCGGCGGAGGTACACGCAGCGTTGAATCCGGGTATATGTCAGATGGGGGCGATATTAATGTAAATATAAAAAATAATTTGTTTTGCCTCCCCTCCTCCCTGTTAAATGTGAGTAAATAAATTAAATAATCGAATACATTTGAATTTGGTCTTAGTAAGAGGGTAGATGACCAAAATAATGGTTTCTTACCGTAATTTTAGTAACATTCCCCCCCCCATAAAAAAATTGTCTGCATTCAACACTGCGTACACGTTTCTGGGACGTTTGTACAACTCCGCGTCACAAAGGTACAATAATAATAATATAATTATTGTAGTGTGTTATATTTTACAACGGTACGCGACTGGATTGCGGGCCGCGCGAATTATTATTCGGAGGAGAATTGTAATTTCGACAAAACTGATATTGGTTAGATATCCATGCGATATCCGCGTACCGAAAATAATCGAATAACTTGTACGGTGGTTCGGGGGGGAGAGGGGAGGGGAGGAGGACAGGCGGCGTTTCCCGGGCGCGTTAAAACTTCAGTGTCGGATCGGCGGCGGCGCGGACCGCACCCGTTAACACCGGGGAAGTTTAATATACACGCCGCGTCCGCGGACGTGTACCCGGGTAACCATCGCGATACCCGCTATTATATCGCAATACCGTTAAAACAACAACAACAACACAACAATAATAGTAATAACATTATTATCAGTCCGAATGTCCGGACCGGCTTATCTCGTCGCCGGCGGCGTACCTGATATTGTTTGACGATGAGTTCCGGTCGGTGGCAGCGCAACATGAGCGCCTCGAACCGCGGATAATTGGCCGCCTCGAACTCCGCGCCCGCTCTGGACAGCAGCACGTCGGACATGCCGGTCGGGTCGTGTTGTCCGGCCACGCGTTCCGCGCTGTCCCAGTCCCGGTTGTGCACGTACCTGTAGGGCGCACGACGGAATTGGTTAACGGGGCTGCGCGTGACGAAAACGACAAACAGCCGGCCGCGGCGATAGTGAGCGCGGCGCGGGGGGGGGGGGGAGTGGCGATTTTGATTGATCGTGGACGGCGATTGCTGGGTAAATTCGATTTCGGTTTTAGACACCCACCTCCGAACGGTCCGAGGAATGATTATTAATGCCGGGCACACTCGTTGTCTCGGAAAGCATTAATTGTTTTTCGGAATTCGTTTCCTAGGTCATTAAAAGAAACAAGCAGTTCTACAATTTTATATTTATGTTATTTTTTGTCGTCCTTTTTTTTTAGCGGGGGGGGGTAAAACCACTATCTACTTTTTGATTTTCAAATGGCAACCTATATTGGAAATTCCACAAATAGATGGATTATTAGTTAAAATAATTATAAAAGGTGACGTTTTTAATTTCCGTCGATCCGTTAACCAGATATTCCACTTTTAAGTTTTGGTTGGAAGAGAGAGTAGTCGGAGTATCATTTGTGTGGCGGTGTGGCGTGCGGCGTGTTGACAACCACTACTCTAAATTTATTTTAACTAATTCTCCATCTATTTATGGAATTGTTAATATAGATTGCCATTTGAAAATTAAAAGTAGGTGATGGTTTTACCCCCAAAAATGACCAAAAATAACATACATATACAATGATAGTGCAACTTGTTTCTTAAATGTTCTAGAAAATAAATTCCGGAAAAAGTTAATAACTTCCGTGATAATGTACCCACTTAAATGGATCACCTGGTATATTGTTGGCGTTGGTTTTCCTGTGATGTGTACGATTTTTTTTATATATTTCTTTTTTTTCGATTTCCGCACAAGTTTTTTTTACCAGAAATGTCGCTCGGATCGAAAAATGACTAGAGAGTTTTTCCGTAGCATTTAGGATTTTTAGTTATTGGTGCGTTGGAGACTTTTTTATTTTCCGAGCGGTTTTCGGATAAATTTAGAAAACCCGAGAAGTGAAATGCACAAGAAAACGTATAAACTTACTGAAAATTTCATTGTTTAATTGGTTTTAGATTTGTAGTTTTTTCTACCAGAAATTTTGCTTCAAATTTCAAGAACGAGTAGTATCTTTTCTGAAAGATAATTTCAGTGCAGTTTCCTTGACAATTACGAATCGGAAACTGATTATCGTTTGAGGGGTGCGTATTTCCGGTCATTAACTGAGTTCAGTTTAAATCGAATAAACGGTTTTGAAATTTAGTAGGTTCAAAGAGCTTAACAAAACATAACCCATACTCTTTGGCCCTAACCAAACCTTACTCCTAGGAAGATAATTTTCTAAGTGTAAAACTAAAACCTACTACCGGGTTTAATGAAAAACGAAAACGGTTTTCTGATAGATCAGAGAGATAATAGAACAAATTTAATCCAAATATAGATCCAAAACCGATAATTTCCTAAGTCAATGTTCCGAGTGTGAACGTAAAACCTATGTCCTAGTCGATAAAAAAACCACGATGGGTGGTCGTTTGGACCGAACTCAGAAAGGGACTGTAAATATGCGTCTGGGAGTATCGATAACTGTGAACAAACACCATGCGTAAGCGCAGATTATTTTGTTTTTATTTGGGTGGCTGGAATAATATTTACGAGAAAAAAAGGTTTCTGCCTTGAATATTTCATCAATAAACATATAAAGTTTCGTTTCACACTTGATGCTATATTCTATGACAAAATAAAAATGGACCTTTTTTTAAAATTATTTTTTTCTTATGCTCAATAATTATGGTGTTATTTATGTTTTAAGCGAGCCTTCAGTTTTTAGGTGATATCAAGCACAATAACACTCGGCGACTAAAAGAAATGTTCAATTATCACAAAATAAAGTCACCGTGAAAGTCCACACTTACATGAGTACCGCTTCTTTGGGTCTCATTCCGGCCACGAAGTGTTTTTCGGCCTCCTGGAATTTACCGTCGTCTTCAAGCACCAGTGCGTATTTATAATGAACGTCGGCCAACCGATTGGCGCTCCCCGATCGGGCTAACTCGAATGCGAAATCAAACTAAAATCAACAAAAGAAAATCATATTAGATATTTTATTATTCAAGACCGTAAGTGGAAAATAACTTCGGGGGGGGGAGGGTTGTAACCTAAAAATTTGTTTAATTTTCATTGAAATATTGTCTAGGTAATTTAAAACTAAAATAACACGAATAAATTTCGAGAGGGGTTTGAACCATCAAAACCCTTCGGTATGGTCTTTTTATGTAAATACATATACATATACATATAAGAATAATACTCATATATCGGAATCAATATTCGGATACCGTTGAAAACGACATTATTTTTTTGGAAAAAGAAAAGCACAAATATTTCATCAGCTTCTGTTTTGCAACTTGGAATTTGTGTTCTCCCAAAATTTAGATAGCAATTAGTGTGAATTTGTGCGATCAAATTCAAAATTTTTACGACAACGGTAGTAACGGTTTGTGTCGGTATTTTCTGAATGTATTTTAATAATAAAATAATGATTTAAACTAAAAATCTTTTGCTTAAAAAGGGGTGAAATAACTTCAAATATTAAAATCTACATCAACTTTGATGAATTCAAGGATACAAGAAACATTCGAACTAAATTTGAAGAAAATCCAACTACTTGATATTATACTCACTTTGTTCGATCAGTTTCCTTAGATAAATAAGTATTTATACTTATGTCTTTAATATTTATCCTGACATAACCCATAAATAATTACATATATAATATATAATAAATGTTTATAAGAGTAAATATTTAGTAAAAGTGCATATAAAACACTCAAACACAGGTATTCAAAGCGTAATTATTACTTGATAACTATCACTGGCATGATCGATACATTCGTCAAGTAGATTCAGACGATTGAGCAACTTGACCGCGGAATCTCCACCCAACGATTTAGCCCACAAAAACGCCACTTGCTCAGCCGCGTGTTCTCCGCCGTTGTTTTTAGCGATCTGAAAATAATAATATAAACCGGTATTATTTTTCTGTTATTTATCGTAAACATTTTTGTATTTTTTTTTCCCCCTTTATGTACGATGAGTTTGATTGATCCTAAATTATATATTTTTGTCTATCGAAAACGACGAAAACAGATTTGTCAGAAACGAAATGTCAGTATATTATAGGCGAATCATGCCATTTCATAATAACAAAGTAGCAATGTTAAAATATGTAACGTCATGTTTATACTTTATATATATACTATGCACACACACACACACACACACACACACACACACACCCCGCGGATCGTTTTTAGAAATAATAATTGCAATCCGTGGTTCGTATCGTTTAAAACGATTAATAAATCATTTTTGGTTAAAACGTACTCGTACACACCATATTTTACTGTCACTATTTACTAGAAATCGAACACTGCCGTTCAAAGGTTTTCTACGACTTTTAAAAATAATCGTTTTCCGACGGTCAGTATGTTGTATACATACTTAATGCACAGCTTGATTCGGAAAAAAATAATAGATGATATGTAACAAATTTGTTTTCATCAAACAAATCGTAATAACTTCAGGTTTAAACACAGAAGCGTAGGAAGGTGAAACATATTAAACGCTGATGTGCTCACTTTCTCTACGCCCATTTTCTCGACCGTATGGTGTTATAATATTTTATTACAAGCTTATGGGTTCAGGGTAGTTCTCAGAAAAATGGTTAGACAGTACAATAATGTTGTGATTAGTTGTTCTGCTAAGGTAGGGGAAAAAATTGGGCACGTTATTTTAGTTTTCAGTGTCTTATTATGCTGCATTTTGTATAATGTAAGTTTTATATTTAACACGGTCTTATACCTGTTCACCTACAGGCAAGTAACTAGGGGAGATCTATGGGGTCGGAACTCCCTCCGAAATTTAAACTTCTCACCGAAAAATCAGATTATTGGTAGTTGGTGATACATTTTATGTTTGAAGTCCTCCTCCCATAAAAAAAAAATTTTGGCTACGCGCATATCTACCAAATCATTTTTTTTGACGATTACCGTGGTTTTAGAGTCAAGAAAACCCAACCAGAGTAATCAGAGTAATCAGAGTAATCAGAGAATGGCCAGCTAGGGCACCGTTTTCTATTGGTTAATGTCAAACGGGAACGGTTGGAAATGCGAATAGGTTAGAGGTTTATCGTTACGATTGATATTCTCGGCGATTCGAATTCCGAATCCGCTATGCATTATGTAAAATGATACGCCGGTGACGCGTGCCACTATCTATCGCCGAATCAAACAGAGATCGTTGACAGTTGTACCACGAGAGTATAATAATAATATAACACCGTTGTTGCACAACACCCAATAAACCCATATCAATACATCGCGGAACTAAGCGTGTTTTTTTGTTTATATTTTACTTTTGTAACAATATTAACTAAGAATAATTCAGAGAACCAAATGTATAATCGACGTAGCGTTGATTCGCTACGTTGATGTCGATTCGTAAGTTATCGATGTAAATTGTGCGATAATTCTTCCGAAAAGCAAAATCAATCCCGATTGTCCTGTTGAACTATTTTTACAATCTCGTAAATTTACTGCACTGCGTTAAGTAGTATAAATGTCACAGTAGAGTACATAATAAGAAGTGCATCCGGTTGGATTATGAATCGTAAATTCTAAGAGGATCTAGGGACAACGGTCAGCAATAGTGATTTCGTGAGTTTTTATATAAATGAAAATGTTCGCTCTGCAATTTTACGTACCGAATTCGGGAGGTACCTATGTGATGTACAGATAATTTTCTCTAGTCAGGTGCTTCGGAAATGTTAAAAATGACTGGTTGGAACATTATACATTTTTGACCTTGTAACTAATTTCGCCCACATTGGGTTTTTTTATAATAATAATGCACCTGGTATGCTCCAAGTGAAGTGAGACGACTGAATTAACCACATCGATATCATCGTCTCGGTTTTTTAATTTTGTTTTTCTTTTCTTTTTTTTTTTATTTGTTCGGTTGTTTTGTATTTTCTTAATAACAAATAAAAACCGGCCATTCTTTATAGCTCTTTGATCGACAACAAAAGATAATGTTATACAAAATCGAATAAAAAAACGTTGACGAATTATTAAAAGGAACTCAAAATTTATTGCCTTTTTTGCCGGTGATGTGTTTTTCAAGAAAACATTTTTTAAACGACAATAAATTTATATTTTCGTTTTTGACAAAACTTATCCCGTTCGGTGAAAACGAGTAACGACGAAGGGTATAATATAATAAATTATCGCACGTGCAAACTATACCGACAACGCGCGTTCGTGGTCGTGGCCAACCGAATCGTTGGTTAGGATTTAAAGTATTCGTGCCGTATGTTATATTTAACGCAAAAATGTACTTACTAAAATCAATAACAGATATGAAAATTTCCTGTCAAAATACCAATTAGATTTACCGGTGTTATCGTAACCCAAATATTCGCTTGGATTTTAAACTATTTAGTATTTACCGGGAAACTTTTTTTTTTTCAACTTTTTCCGATACCACGATTCTTTGAGTTGTTTTAACATTTTGTCAAAAAAAAAAAAAAAAATAAAATAAAATAAAATAAAGGTTAGGTTACTTATCGGTTTTGTATCGTTTTATTTGTTGTAAAATCGATATTGTGTTTCTAAATTAAATACTAAAAGAAAAAATTAACCTAAGCGTTTAAAAAATTATCCGTTTGTCTTGATATCACGCATCTTTTTCCGGAAGTTCTTTAAACGCATTCGATTTATATATTTATGTATTTTCCACTATTATGAAATCGTTTAAGCTTTATTTTATATTTTTATCTCTACTCCTTATATCTGAAATGAGGATTAACTTTTTATTTTCGAATGGCCTCCTCTTTTAACACAGATTCGAAAAAATAATATATTTCAACAAATGTTGAGAAAACTCTTATTTTTCCGAATCTGTGTTGAAATGATGGAAAAATCAACAGTTAATTCTCATTTAACGTTGAAGAGTAAGGGAAAATATTTAAAATAATGTTAAAATAAAGCTGAAATGGTACCGTAATTGCTGAATAATAAAAACCGAAATTAAATTCACTTAAAATCGTCCGTGAAAATCGCTGGTTTATAATAAATGGATCTCCCTGTTATTGTATATACCGACTAAATCGAGTTAAATTAATTTTGTTAATTTGTGTTTAAACGATAACTCATAGAGTATAGTTACCCCAATACAAACTTAGGCTTATAGTATATTTATTTACTTTGTATAACGTATATGTATGTACTTTGGATAAATAAATAAAATGTTAAAAAAAAAAACCGTTTTATTTCATGGCGTATACCTTATATGCTTCTTCCCACATATCCAACGATCGGTACATTTTTACAGCGAGTTTCCACTCTCCGGCCTGGACGTAATGGTTCTCGGCTGCCCTGTAGTTGCCACGCGATTCACATTCGTGTGCCAAATGCATGTGGGTGGTACCAACCAATTCGCTGTGGTATTTGCTCACCAGGGCCATCATCTGGAAATGCAAATGCAGACAATTAAGGTGATCGGCATTTTTAGAGTTATTTAAATCACAATAATATCTAATTTTCGAACTGAAAGTAAAAAACATAAAATATTAATTGATTATTATTATCAGTTTTTTCGTAATCTGACTCTCAGAGCATAGAAGACACGACACATCTATATTTTGTAATTTTTTAGTCTACTCTAATTATTCTCTAGGCTACATAGTCTAAGCTCTAAGGTACCTCGTCATATCGTTGAAAGTTCTTGTACATGTTTATGGCCAAATCCACTTTGTCCAATGCCAAATAAAGCTTTTCCGCCTCTTTAACGCGACCCATATTCTCCAATTTTTTACCATACGTTTCCAATTCTTCGCCCAAATCCGTAAGTGTGGGATTATTCTTCAGAAGCTTATGAGCCTTTTCCCAATTCCCTGTGCATATACACAAATAAACGATGACATTTTCAATAAAACGGAAGTGTCCAGATCGTTTGAAAAATACATAATCGATTCATACCGGTTTCTAAGTAGAGCTGAATAGCCTGCCTGTACATTCCGCATTCCATGTACAGTTTTTCTGCGGTCTTATAGTCGTTTACGGTTTTAAAATGATCGGCCAAATGAGCTCCGTATTTGGTCACCAAAGTTTTGTCCTCGATGACCTATTTATTTCAAAATTTAAACAAATTAGTCAATTAACGGTATCGTAATATTTTTTTATGCTCGGGACCACGAGGAATGCATCCAAAATTTAGGGATTATCATCAAACATGATTTATCATTAATCCGGTTTCAACGTAAAAAACGATTTAAATAATCTACAAAATTACAATTTCGACACTTGCCGAATTTTTTTGTTGTTGGTTTAGTATTTTGTATTTTTCAGGGGGGGGGGATTCGTTATTGTTTGGGTATCAAATACAGATTTTTGAAACTATGAACGTCTATAGATGGAATCGTATATCTAAGTATACACTGTTAAATACAACTTGTTTAAATAATGAATAAAAGTGTCTTATAAAAGTATTATTCGGGACTAAAAGTTATCTTAATAAAACGTATCTATCATCTTCACTTCGATATAATAAAATTACATTTTATTGCAATAATTGAAATGCACACATTATACGTTTAATTTGAACAAATGGATGATTTAATTTTGGAAATGAATTTGAATTCCATGGAAAATGTCTATTTGTTATTTATCCTGCAAATATTGATGAATTTAAATTTTCGTATATTACTAACCGCGGTTTTACAATAAATTAAAACACAAAGTCCTTGTGATATTTACCTGCATTATTTGCATAGATTTCTTCCATTGCTTGGCTCCGATAGCAGCTTCTAAAGCTTTGACTGTGTTGCCAGCCTCGATGTAATGAGAAATGGCCGCGTCTTGGCGTTTCTGGGATACTAAAAAATCGCCCCATTTCTCTTCCAGAGAAACTACCTCTGAAAATTAATTAAACGAAAAATAAAGCTCGACATATCCGACATTTCTATACTGCAATTAAATATGTAGTGTAATATACATTCTGAACACGAGGTGCAAGGTTCTATGGCGGAAAACTGTACAAGTCTGCAGGCCGAGTCAATATTTATAATAAGTTGACGGTGCGGGAAGTCGTTGAATTTCATTATTCTGTAGTTTTGAGAAACTCGCTTTGTGTAATAACATGTATACGTAGGTATATATTACGATTCAAAACGTCAGGGCGGTACAAAAACGGTTATAACATCTCGACTGATGAAAAATTGTATGAAAAGGACATACCTGCCGGCGAGACGAATCTGGCTAATTCCACCGCCTTTCCGTATATGTTTCCTTTGCAGTAAAATTCCATGGCTTTGCCCGGGTTTCCCTGCGACTGACAGAGTTCTCCGGCCACGTGATAATTTTCCAGTCGCAGCAGCCCCGCCAGTACTTTGTCCACGACAGAATTGTCGGCCAAAAGTTCGTGATCGTCTTGGACTAGCCTTTACGATTAACATTTTAATTAAACAATAATAATATACCTCGTTTACTGCATTTATTATGAACATAATCTGAGAGCCTGCTCTCGAGCGACGCGAAATATGAATGTTTTATAATTTTGAGTTTTGATGCGTATGCAATCGATTACCCGATTTTAAATCGTTCGCATTAATAAAATATAATGTTTTTTTTATATTTTCCCCGTAAAAACCGTTTTCTTTTGTACTTGTTCTCTTTTATACCGGCGTGTATTATTTCGTATATCCGTATTATTGTAAAAGTAAAACTGACTATGATAATGTAGATTGTGAAGTTTTTTTTTTTTTAAAAAATAATTAATTCCGCTAAAAATGTCGGTCTTAAAAATACAATTGAAAATTCCTGAAAACTTTTTTGATCCGGTATATACCTATACCGGTTTTGGGGTAGGTACATTGTATACAATTATTACACCGCAATACAGTTTGTTTACTTAAAACAATACAAATTCGCCGCGACTAACGCGAATTCAACATTTCAGCGTAGGTGTATAGTGTTATAATATTTAAATTACGAAACTTATTTTAAAATTTTCTATATTTTTTTTCTCGAGTGCGCGCAAACATGAATTATTAAAAATCATTAATACGTGACGCAACACGACGAATGCAATTTTCTATCGAAAGCTGTATAGAAAAGTTTGAAAGTTCAATTGCAGATTTCGTCCAAGGTTTAAACGATCACCGACAACTAACTCTAGTTTATAAAAATGGATTCAACATATTCGAGAAAAGAAAAATATTAGTTTTCTTAAGGAAATATAAATATCATTTTAAAACAGTTTCCGTTATTCTCCATTATTTTCGAGTTTCCCGAAATTTTCTTCTTTTTTCCCCCTTGATTTCGGTACCTATTCATAATAACACCGTTTAGAACGTTAAATTTTCCTTTTAAGTTTATTTTCGTGTACATTAACGACAAAGAGTTACGAATTTCGCCGTTTATATCATTATCATAATAAAATAAATCACCTTCATAATGTATTAATTTGAGTTTTTTGAATAGATGAGAAGTAGATAATGTGGTATTATAATTTACCAATATTGTACTACTGTATTATACCTGCTTCACAGAAACCCCATTTTCTATTATTCAGCGGATTAAAACAATTTTTTTTTTCTCATGTTAATATCGATTATTGTAATTCACCCCCAATAAGGATTACAATAATTACTAAAGTCACGAATATTAATCACGTTATTTTTATTAGTATTTTAATGGCGTACATTAAATTTAAAAAATTAAATCATTTTTATTCTTAACCGTTAACACGTAATAATTTCGTTGCGCGTATTTTTAATCGCGTACATTACAAATCATTCAACTTAGGTGTTCATTTTAAAATCTTAAAATCAAAATATCCATAAATAATATTTTGCAGTTTTCGATAGAGAATTTGGTAATATGTCCAATGGCAAAATAATTAACGATAGTTTTTGAACATTTCGTTGAGAATCAAAGATCCGAATTCGCAGACAACCAAAACAATATTACTAAATTTATTGTACTCGTCATTATTATTTTGGAATACGTACAACTCCTTCGCCATTAAAATTGTATAGATATATATTGTATCTATAACGTTTTGTGTTATTGTTGTTTGAGCTTTAAAATATATTTGTATAATTTAACAAAGTTTGGAAAATAATAATTTATACGAAATAACATTTTAAATTTTACACGGTGTAAAACGGCCGTTTCCTAATCTTCCCGACGTTTTATAGTTGATGAATAATGTTTAATTTGACGTATTTATTATAGTATTATCACACCACTGATCGTTATTCTAATCTCAATATGACAATTTAATCCTTTTAACTATACGTCTTTTGAACAGGTTTATAGAATTTAATTTAATTTAATTAAACCATTTATCAAAATACTTTTTTAAATATTGTATATTCGACACTCGCATATAAAAAAAAAAAGAAAAAAAAAAGGAAGATGTTTTCTTTTAACATCTTAAAATCTTTATTATAATCATTTTTGTTATTATTTTCAAATGGAAAATTCGCACTTACTTGGAAGCTCTGCTGACGAGTCCGGCTTTCATGTATAACTGAAGCGCCGATCTTTTGTCTCCTTCCATTTCTTTAATTTCGGCCGCTTTTTCTTCCTGACACGTTTCCAATAGCCATAAATGATACCGCGATTTCAGCTCGTCAACGTCCGGCCGATTTTTGGATTCGGCCAAATTGATTGCTAAGATTTCACATCAACGATAAAATATGTATTAACTACTTACGTAAAAAAACAACGTCGAAATGGTGACTTATGTTTTTCTTTATTATTACCGTTTTCCCATTTATATAATGACAAATACATTTGAATTGCTTTTTCCACCTGATTCTGTTCCAGATACAATACTTCTGCCGCCTGTGTTTGACCGTTCAATATTGCTATGCGAGCCCACACTTCCGGGCAGTCCATTCCATCACAATCTAAAATATATATAGCGATAAAATAAAAATTATTATTTTATTTTATGTTTTTATTAGCTTTACAGTCCAATATTTCATTTCAATTGCATTCTATGATAATAAAGCCAATTTTAATATTACATTATTATTGTTAATGAAATGGACAATAATATTATATTAAACACTATATTCTAGTTTAAAATTATTTTTTAAATGTTAACATTTTTCAGTTGTGTTATTCGTATGTGTTTTATGTTGTTTTACAAAACAGAGTCACGTTAGGCATCGAAAGGAAACCAACAGAAATTGAGCCAATATATCATAATTTTAAATAAGGTCATTTATTGGAGGAGCTGTACGGGTTTCGCACTTGCCACTCCACCACGACGCGCAACGTAGTGTTTGTAATTTTGTATATAAATACTTTTCAACACCATTCACAAGTAAATTTCATACATATATATATAGATTTCTAAAAGGCTTTCAATTCAATCGATTATGGAGTTCTTAAAGATTAATAATAGTGTTATTTGGAATTCTCATTAATGGCGAGTCTCTTCAAACCGACCGTGTTCAGCGACGGTTTACTGGATTTCTGATTGGTATTTCTATGCACAGCGTGATTATAATCCTGTAGAAACCAGACTTGGATTAACTACTTTCCTGGCCAATTTCAGACATACGCTTAATGTTTAGTTTTTATTCAATATCTTGTCTGGGAAATTCGACTCACCCACGTTCCTGTCTTTTATCGATTTTAAAGTTCCCCTACGATCTGTTCGACATACTGTCCCTTTTGCGTTACACTATCTATTACTAACTAAACTATTTGTCAAATTAACTTATGATTCACTTTTAAATTTACTTTCTATTATTATTTTAATGTAATATCTTTTTCGTAATTTTAGATTGTATAAAAATGTATCACCACGATTACTATGTTATACATATTATAAATTATAGTATACGTCCAAATAGCTCAGCTCAATAATTTCAATAGATTTCAATAAAATAAATACATTTTTATTAGTTGAAATTTTTTTTCTTTTAGAAAAACTAAAAGGAATCTAGAAAATCTTTTTATTTAAAGTACCACCAGACGAGAATTCTGTATTTTTAATGTATGGTATAGAACAATTGGAGCTCTAAACAAACCGAAAAAATGATTTATTAAATTATAAAACGTACACGTTTTTAGAAGACTGAAATGTTGTTTTCGAAAATAGTTGTATTGTTAAAGTTTTAAAACTATAGCGTACCAATACAATGAATGACGGAAATTAAATTATTGGTTTGAAAATCTATATTTGATTTAGGTGTTGGCAAACATGTCTATGTTGTTTTCCTGTACGTTTATTGCCATCTTAAAGCCTAATTGATGAGCTCTTATGTTTACTTGAAACATGATCTGTTAATATTGGTAATAAAATAATGTCTTTCACTTTGACCATTTTAAACGAAATTCAATATAATATTGTGTTTTATGTGTCTGTATATAGGTAGTGACCATATACACGAATGTACTATTGAAACACGATTAAATGTATTAAAATTGACGGCTCATATTAAAGGACCCTGTTTAATAGTAAAACATTTATCAAGGATGACGATGTTTTTAATTTGAACTATTGAAAGCGATTTAATTTTAATCGGACGTATTTATAATATATTATATTTTAAGATTTTAAGATTAAAAAAAAAAAAAAAACAAAAAACAAACGTTCATACTTCGCACGATGGTTGAGCTACTTATATAAATGAAAAGTTGGGAAGGTAGAAGGGAAATTTAATGAATATTTTTGCACAATGGTTAATCATTGCTAACGAAAAACGATTTTGAGCGGAGTTTGGTCAAACACTTTTTGAAAGGCCGTAATATTTACGATTTGGAAATAATATGTTTTGTAAATTTTCTTGTTTTTTTTCCCGGGTATTCCTATTTATTATGACAACCCCAGGGAAAATCAAAAAAATGAGCTCACTAAAGTACCACCCTAGTCGGATTTCCTTTCAGAAAAAGTAGTACACTTGAAAATCAGAGCAAAATTTCTGGTAAAAAAGTTGCTCTCAGAAAAAAAAAAAAAACAAAACTTCATTGTAAAACCAATACATTCCTTGTTCCGTTCAGAATGTAAAAATGATAGTTTTGTGATAAAATTCAAGCATGTTATTTGAATGTAAAGAATCAAAAATAATCGGACAGAAGCCACTCATCTGCAACAGTGGCTTGCCCGTGACTTGTGAGCAATATCTATCAATTTTTTTTCTTATTATTGTAGCTAAATTCGCTTAAGTTCAACCCTAGATTATTCATTATACTGGAATTTTTTGATATCGAATCCATTCATACGGTCCGAATAGTTTTGCCAACTATGCATAACAAATATTTTTAAAATAATATTAATAATTATGTAGTTTTTATTATTTTTTTAAATGTATAAAATATGGTAACCATTCTGCAATGTTTAATATTAGTAATATCAGTAACCTGACGATGGCGTAAAGCCGAGGCTTAATAGTGACAAGATATCTAAATTTGTTTACACTTTTAAGTCATAGTTTAATACATTTTTGTAAACATTTTTTTTTCCTATTACGTACAAGAAATGATACGTAATCTCAAATTTACAATTTATCTGCCGTTAAAAGATATTTTGTAAAACAGTAAACTTTGCCGAAAAGTTACATCAAACAATTTTATGCATATAGGTACATTAGAATTTTTCAGTTCACTGAGCTGAATATATATATTGCGAACAACTTAAAAAAAAAAGTAATTATGAAAAATGTAGATAACGTTAAAAGGCGTTAAAATTCTAATTCCGAGTTCCTTTCTGAATCGTTTTTGTTTAAACTTGATATTAATCGTGTTCAAATTAAAAAAATGAATACACTTACTCATTCTTTCTCAGTTTCACACATAATTTTGCAGAAATCACATAAGGTCTAAAGTGGGCTTGGTTAAAGTGTGTTATATTACAAATTTGAATTGTGTGTCTACTACTGAGCATCGGTTTTTCTACCATTATGCATGAGGGTGCATTCAGGTGTAACAGTTAAAATATATAATCTTATTGAAATCAGACATTCTCTTTACCGTGGGCAAGTTGCAAGTATTAAGAGTTGTTCACGATTATAGAAGTATTGCATATGATACTACGGTAGTGTTATCAGGTTCGAAATCAAAATTTTATAATGTCCGCATATATGTTATTTTATGGTATGATAGTGTATCCGTCTGAAAATCGTTGATCGGTGAACAGAATATAGCCCGAAAAGCGTTCACTGAAAACTCATCAAACAGTCGCAGATTCAATGAGCTCTTGGTCATAGTAGGTATGAAACAAAAATAGTTTCGGTGTATCTTAGATAGTATGAAAACGGGCGGAACCCGTAGAATTTAACAAGATTTATGCGGATTCACCTTTATAATTTACGTATAATTACACCTATAATAAGGAATCGTTCATCCGATATGGTGCGATTTGAGTTCTGAACGATAAGAGCACCTATGCATACAGCACGGACGATAAATTTGGAAGACGTTGGTACTAATTTACATTTACTCGTGGCCGCGTATCCCAAAATTGTATAAATGCCCGATCTCCCCGCCCGTCCTCTTTACCGTGGTCGTTTTGTCCAATCGGGTTTAGTTCAAATATGAATCTGGCGTTGTGTACGGTCAAACCTAAGCAATTATAATACAGTGAGTGTCCGAATCTGTTGATATATACACACAATGTAGCTCGATCCGTTCCTATGTTATAGTATCCGAGTATAAATTAGGTTTACAAATGGGCTTACGGATAATTTATGACGTGTTTATCATTGACACACGTAGATATTCGTAGCTTTTTGCATTTTTCAGCTGGGATTAACACAGTTGCCGGCTCGTATTAATTTCTTTTATGATTTATGTGATAATATTTTGCTACCGTTCATAGCGTCTAAATACTGTTACAGTTTTTAAAATAAAAAAAAATTATACACAAATGATATACGCGTATATTATATTCTGTTATTCATTAGTATACATTTGTTCCAAGGGAAGGTAAAATCAATTATGGTATCAAAAGGTCAATTGTATATAGTTTTACAACGACATTAATTGTACAATATACATACACTATTACACTACATACGATAATTAAGAATATACATATACGTATTTGAGAGTGTATTCACAAGTGTATACACTTTAATGCAAAAAAAGGATTTTAGACGAAAAAATAAAGGGGGAAAAATGTCATAAATTAATAAGAAAAATTATAAAAAATAAAACATCAAGCTTTCTACTCTGGGACCAAACATTTAATATTGCACGAACGTCATCCCGAACAATCAATATAAAATAGAATTTATTTTTCTATCGTTTTGGATATTATATCAAAAGAGTTTTAAATCTAAGTTTCATTAATTTTTCGAAAAGTTTTTATTATTTTACACTATATTGTGATAAAATATGGCTAGGTAACTTCAACAATCTAAAGTATAGTGCACTGTAATAAGATAGTGGTTAAATTACGACTATAGAACCACGATATTTATTAGCGAAAGAAACTTATTATTCTAAGTTATAGTGGATGAAACAGATAGGCAGAAGTCCTACCGTCGGACTGCGCATCTTGATAGCCGAATGAACTATAGAGGTAGACCGCTACAATAAATTATATTTTCTAGGCATGAAATACTACTCTCCTAAACGGAATGATAAACAATAATATTTTATTAATATTATTATTATTATTATTATTATTATAGTTGAGCCGAGTAAAATATTGCTGGGTAAAAGATGCCAGGTACAGGGTCTTTTGGAAAATGGTTCTCTGTAAAGAGCTATCGGGAAATTTAGGATGGTAAACAAAGCGAGCCGCACCGGACGATAAGAGAAAAAATACACACATTTATAATCGAAAATTAAAAAAAAAAAAATGCATGTTTTACTTGTAATCGGAGAGTAAGTATACGCTATAAAGTCGTTAAACATAATAGTAATTTTATTCAATTTTCCATGAGAGAAAACTGAAAAGATGTGCGCCGCGGATGTGCGTTAAAATTCAAAGCGAAGTCAACAAACCGGAATAACGACCAATTATTATTCGGTTTAAAATACTAAATTGTCTTTTATGGTTATTAAATCTCTGCAGTATATTTTATAATTCGGTTTTCTATTAATATACAAAACGAAATCGTTTATAATATTATGTAGTCATGCGATGATTACTATGAATACGTTTGTTTATCACCGGCAATCTGGTGAATGATATTCGATTTGCTCGCAAATCCCAACCCCTTAAAAAAATTAGTTCACTGATCCGTGAAGAGCCAACTCTGTTCCACTGCATTTCGAATAAACCCCAATTACGGGTATAATGTTATTGTATGTAAATAAAATAGAAAAACGTTTGCTCAATTGTTCAGTACGCACGTTATTGGTTCCGTAGCTGTGTTCGAAATGATTGGCCATAATTTACCGCAGGCATTGTTCGTTTCAACGTTGAACGTACCCTACTGTTTATAATATTTGCACTATTTGGATTGTGTTTTTTTTTTGTTTTTCTATAGATCTTATTCAATCACAAGACAGCTGATATTTGTTTAGTGTCTCAACATTGAAATATAACGTCGATTCGATTTTTTTATGCAAGTTTGAATTTTCGAACAATATTTCGAGATTATTATATATATATATATTATGTTTTGTTAAATTATTATTAATTTTCAATTTTCATTTGTTTATATAAATGGACGTTCCTCAGGAAAACGTATTTTTTTTAAATAAACAAGTATTTTATTGGTGTTCGATTTGATTTTACGTCTGTTTATTGTAACAAATATTGTATATTACTAGATTTCAAATCCATATTTTACTATTTTCGAGACAGTTTTTATTGCGAATATTATGTTTAAGCATTTATTATCATATAAATAATCGAAACATATTCGTCAATATTAATGATTTTGAACAGTTGTACCAATTCTAAAAAACATATAATTTTTGTATTGTAGTAATCGTATACGAACAGTTATTTATCATTATTCATTAGAATAGCGGCTGTAATTTGTCATTTCTCAGTTTCACAAATACAGTAGTTACGTTAATAATAATTTAGTTGGAGATAAATTTAAATTTAAAACATATTTGGCTAAAAAAAAAAAAAAGAGCCGTGAAGTAAAAAAGTTACATAAAAAACGAAATACGGAGTAATGATTAACAGCGTTTAATATTTCATACGACGTATTATATAAATATTTCAAAAATAAATAAATATATTTCGTATCACCCAGTAAAATATAGCCATTAACCCTTCAAGTATAATAATATTTCCGTGTCATGATAGCAAAAAAAAAAAAAACAAATAGACAAATAAATGGATAAAAACGTGTTTTCGCGCATTCGTGAAAACCGTAATTGTCTACCAACATTTTCATTGAAATGTCTACAGGGCGA